TGTGATTGAAGCATTAGTCAATGTGCATGCACCAAATGTAAAGGAAAAACAAGAAAACGAGGAAAGAAACTGGTTTAGGACAGCCCTTTCTATCTGACCTGGTGGTTCCCGTAACGGTAGTTCGTCTTTTTTGACGTAAACTTTGCCAGAGGTCGCGGGTTCCGTCCGATAAAATAAATGCATGGACCTTTTCAAAAGGAAATAAAAGGTCTATGAAAAGTAGGTAAATTGTGGGTTGCTTATCTATCACTATACTTACACAAGCAAACAAAAAACCTGATCAAAGCGGTTTTGTTTAATATTGCGTCAGTTCAGTCTACACATTGACGTATTTGTAAAAGGTATTTTGTATGGCACACCTGTATTGACAAACGTGAATGAACTTGGGAATCTATAAATGTATTCATTAGTGGAAACAATAGGATGCTTTCATAAATTGTGGCACCTTCTAATAACGCTACATTCATGAGCAAGTAGGTATCATCATTGGGTATCATACACAATTTAGTTAAGTATCAGCTTACAAATTGCATTTCAATTACTTAAGTCCTATAATGTGCAACTACTTAGGACTTAGGTAAATGAATCGCGCTCAATTAGGTAGGTAAATCAAATATCAAGGTCAAATATTAGAGCGTAAAATAGCGCTAAATGAAGATAGCGACTTATTTTAGGAGAGCTAGTTGTAAAAAAACTATAACTAGGTGACCTGACCCATCAAGCCATCGGATACCGGCGCAAAGATGATGCAATATCGCATAGCAATGTCTAGAGACTCGAATTCACTTTTATTCGGCGAACACGGGCTCAATTAACCCGCAAGTCAAACGACTGCGAATAGAGACCCTATTCGAAGCAACAGTAAGACCATTTGCTACAACAACGGCACTTTAACACATGCGGCCTTCTTCGTTTAATGACGATTAGAGATGCACCGACACAATAGAAGCCGGAGCGACTCGATTCGATAGCGAGAAACGTCAAGCCAATCGATAAAACCGCGCGTTTTAACGCGCTCTCGCTCGCAGGTTGCGAGTGCTACGTAAGACCGTAGAGAAAATGTTTTGGTTTGAATTTATAGCATTATTTTAATGCCTACCAATTTATTTGCAGCTATTATTTTCCAGATTCCCCACTTTTATATAGTTCCATGTAACAAACGACTCAGTTTACTCGATATTACCAAAACCCACTCGATTTTTTTATTCGTTAATAGACGTCATGATCGGTCTTTGCCAGCGTTTTAGACAAGCCAGACAGTAGTGTTAACTAACCTCAACGATCGGACGCGTGTCGTCCCTGTGGCAAGAAACCGATAAACGTGTAATTTATTTTTAACTTTCAGAGTTGTAACATATTCCAAGGTTAGTGCCCAATTTAAATATTGTTAATAAATAATCGATAGACATTCACTTAAGAGACAACCATACCGAATTGAATTTTTCCTCCTAATAATAAGTTGCTAAGCGGAATAGTGGTTTAAAATCAATGAATGTCAAAAGAAGGCATGGTTAAATTTTATCCGTGTATAATCAAGTATTATTGACTATTTATAACAGTATAGAGCTGTTGGCGAAAACAATAATTATCATTTTCCTAAGCTGCAAAAATAAGTTTCGTTGCGTGCAATCTAATGCTGAATGTAATTATTTACCCAGGTGTTTAAAATACATAATGGAATAAAAATGCACGTACATAACCTACGTGGAACTTAAGGTTTAACGTTGTATTTCGTTATTTTATAGTGGATTGTCTATAATCAAATTTATTTAAACTAAAAAATTGAATAAGTACAGCAAAACTTTTTATCTAAATTTCTACTCAATAACATCCGATAATGATGTGAACAACATAATAAATTAAATAAATAATTCCAACAAGTTTATTTATAAATATTCCTTTGATATTGTTTCCTAAGCATCTATTTCTGGGACCTCTTTAAGGCGGTTATTGGTCTAAAATACTTACGCTTCTTTCAATACCGATATGTACAGGTACACAAAATGTTAGACATTTTGCTCTGCGTGTCACTNGTGTCAGTATTTAATGAACAGCAGGTTTTATATTTTTATACATTGCTATGGTATCATCTGTATCTATACCAGACAGACAAGTAGACAGAGCTGTTATCTACATGACGCAGGCAGTTCCATTCAACATTTTTTATATGTAAAATCAATGCTTTTAGTGGGTTTAGGCGTTTAGGTACGATAAGAACTTGGAATGAATTAAATACCTTACAGATAAGCGGCTGTAGCTTAGTACTCTACACCTACAATCTACATAGAAGTCAAAATCGAAATAATTGCAATTTATTACTGGTATAATAAACATTCAAAATAGTGTCACTTCTAACACTAAAAAGTATGTGTCTTTACTTACAGGTCCTGAAATGTGTGGCATTTGGGCGACATTCGGCGTAGATGGCGGGCTGAGCGCGACCTGCATCAAATGCTTTTCCAACATCGTGCACCGGGGACCCGACGCGTGGCGCATCGAGCAAGATGCTCGCGAACCACTCGTCATCTTCGGCTTCCAGCGACTGGCCATCGTCGATGGGCTCCATGGAATGCAGCCCATGAGACTCCACGCCTACCCACGCACCACCCTCATATGCAACGGCGAGATATACAACTGCAAGCGACTGCAGGAACAACACCAGTTCCCATACGAAACAAAATGCGACGTGGAAGCAATCATCCACATGTACCAGAACTTCGGTATCGCAGAAACCGTCAGGAAACTAGACGGCGTTTTCGGCTTCTGTCTCGTTGACGGAGAAAAAAGAAAAGTTTACATCGCTCGAGACCCTTACGGCGTCCGTCCACTGTTCAGGTTCCACGATGAAGACAACGACGTACTAGGTATTTGCTCCGAAGCCAAGGGTCTGATTGGACTAAAACAAAAAGGTAGCAAAAACTCAAGTTTGGGACAATTCCCACCGGGACATTTCCAAGTTTGGAGTATGACTGAACAGGGAAAAGTGACAGTGGATTATACTGAACAGTATTACAAACCTGGAATGCCACCTCAATTTATACCATTCGTGCCAGATGGAGATTTGCAAAAAATGAATGTCTACGAAAAGACAGCGCATTTACTTGAAGCATCTTGCAGGAAGAGATTGATGGCCGAAAGAAGAATTGGTTGTCTTCTTAGCGGTGGTTTAGATTCATCGTTGATTACTGCACTGGTCGTAAAACTTGCCAAGGAACACCAGCTTCCATATAAAATTCAGACCTTTGCTATAGGCATGGGTGACTCGCCAGATCTGGCCGCAGCGCGAACCGTAGCAGAGTACCTTGGGACAGAGCATCATGAAGTTCAATTTGATGAAAACGACGTTAGAGAAGCATTAGATAATGTTATTTACCATTTGGAATCATTTGACATAACGACAATACGCGCCAGCTTACCGATGTATCTTTTGTCGAAATATATCAAAAACAACACGGACACTACCGTAGTGTTTAGCGGAGAAGGAGCGGACGAATTAGCTCAAGGTTACATTTACTTCCGCGATGCCCCGACCGTAGAAGCTGGTCACGATGAGAGCATACGTTTGCTATCCGATATTTACTTGTACGATGGCTTGCGGGCAGACCGCACGACCAGTGCACATAGCTTGGAACTCCGTGTACCATTTTTAGATATCCAATTCACCAACCATTACTTGAGCATAGATCCCAAATTACGACAGCCACAAAACGGCGTCGAAAAGCATTTATTGAGAAGCAGTTTCGCCAAGAGCGGTTTACTGCCAGATTCAATATTATGGAGACATAAAGAAGCGTTTAGCGATGGAGTGGCGTCGGTGAAGAAATCATTATTTACGACTATTGCTGAAATTATTGCAGAGAGATTCACAGAAGGGGATCAAAAATATGAAGGCGTTCAACCAACAACCACAGAATCGAGATACTATCGTAGTGTTTTCGAAAAATCATTCCCAGGACAACATAACTTCACGCCCTACTACTGGATGCCGAAGTGGGTGCAAGTCTCTGACCCATCGGCAAGATTTATTAAACACTATGCTGCTACATAAAGTACTAAATATATTTCGTGTTACATGACTCTGTTTGTGATTTCACCCATAACTGATGAGTTCCACAGCTAAAAGAAATTAGACACGACCTTGATATGCAAATACTTAATACAATTTGAATTAATAGCTAACTCTAAAAAAAAGTATAATTGAAAATGTTAGACAGTTTATTTATAGTAAATGGTGCAAAGGCGGCCTTATTGAATCCACAAATTGTTCCAAGCAAAAGCAATTACCATGCACCGTATCATGTATTGTGGGCTTCATCTTGCTTGCATCTACGTGAGGAAAGTCTTCCAGAAAGGTTACTCTATCATGATTGTTACTCTTCTTTGTTGAGTGATTGATGATTGAACTTTCACTGGAACAACTTGAAATGAAATCACAAAGCGTTAGATTCGATATCATCTTCAGTACTGGTTTGTTGGTTACTGAAGTGGTTCTGTCCACGAAGTTAATAGTTTTCTCTGTCGATTTATCGGTAGAATCTGACTTTGTAGTCTCTGATTCTGCGTCTTTGTACACTTTCTTCGCGCTTCGCATCAGATCCCAGATGAGGAAACAGTTTGGGCAGAATACGTCTTTGTGGATGCACTCTAAATTAGATTTTTCATCTGTACGAGGTATAAGTGGGTCGGCATAAACGTACCGACTGAGTAGGACACTTTTTTGGTCTACTTGAACTGCTTCGTCATTACATTTAGACGTCCGGGGAATATGAAGCGAGGGGTTCCTGAAAGCTTCGCAAGTGGTACACTTGCAGGTCATGTTTGCGAGCTCCTGCTTCAAGATTCTCAGCTCAACTGGCTCCCAGCTGCAGTGAGATTTGGGTAAAACAGTGTCCCACATGTTTGAGATTTATTCAACGAAACTCAAAGCCAGATTCACCTTCAATCATTATTTTACGTAGGTAATGTATTTTAACTCATTATGCTTAATAATTAAAGAAAAATTTGTCCTGAACTATTGTGCCATGATAGTGCGACTGTCAAGCACTGTCAAGTGTGGTCAAGTGGTCAAGAGTATTTAGTGACAAACCGTCATATAATTTTGTGGACCCTATGGAATTTTCGAAAGCTTACAATGAGTATGTATGCTTACTTGGGTCATTTTTATGGGAATTGCCCAAAGATAAAAGAAGAATTGTCAAAAACTAGGGTGTCATAGCCATAGCTCGCATCGATACCAAAACATTATTACAAAAATTGAGATCATAAAATGTAGGAAACCAACTCATAAAATTAATCACAAACCAGCATGGACATAATAGCAAAACTAATATGAAGGCCTGAAATCGCTCTCTAACCATCTTTGATCAAAACATAACTATGAAGAGAGGTCAAGGCAGTACAAAAAAGGGTCAGTCAGGTCGGATTCCTACTTCCAAGGTACGTAGCGACATAGACGTTATCAAAATACACCATAAAAGCGTTCATTACTAATTGATTGCTATATTACAGCCGTTTTGCGATTGTCGACACTGCGAATGTAGAAACTGTCCCGACGTTCTACAAAAACTAGCGATTACGATAAAAGATAGCAAGAGCGGCGGGATCCGCGGCAAAGGGGCGAAACGAAAGAAATGCAGTAAGAGCCTAAAGAGAGTGTCACAGACATCAGAACAGCGGCCTAGCATTCTAGACATGTTGAACCCCAACCGAAATTGCGACTGCGAAATAATGGCGCGCGCTATTCGATCTCACATTCATATGAACATGGGTATGACCGACCAAAGAGGCGGGAATTCGGAGCAAAGACCCTCCAACTCCAAAGACATAGAATAAAACATATGATACAACGTTAATTTCTAAGTAAGCATTAAAATACTTTTCGATTTAAGCTGTTTTATTTATTGCAGTTCTGTATTTTTACATTTTTAATTATTACAGTTTTTATATTGCTTTAAAATGCTCAATGAACACACTATAAAACCTTAACTTAACTTCAGATTCGTGTTGATATTTGTTTCTCCTATCTACAATAGTAACTTTATTCGTCCATTGCATCCCCATTTTGTTCTTTCTTTTCCTCTTGTTCCTTTTTAGCTATCTTAAATTTCTCACACATGTAGTTCCAATATTTGCATCTAATTTTATCATATTTCGTTGCTAATGCTTGACAAAGTTCAATGGCTCTATCGGGACTATGTAGACAGCTAATCTCACCTTTTTTTATGGCTTCATCGCATATATCAATGATAAATGCTAATAAAAATGGCGAACGGCACTTATGTTTATACAAATCTTCACAAAATGAGGTAACCACGGCATTACCACTAATACCTCTCTTATCGTGCAACAGGACTCCTCTCAAATAATTCCATGAACTTTCATTGTTTTTCACGAACTTAATTTTCTCCATTGCATAACATATTTCTCTTTGAACATTCAAATCAGACCAGCCGAGATGATTGTTGACTACAAAATATCTCTGATTCCAAGCAGAGTTGTTGCGGACATCCTCGGTTAAAAGATTGTCAACGAAATCCATTTCTTTATTGAAGAGCCTGAAAATATTGAACAAATATTTTATTTAATGAGACGCCTTTACTTAAAATGAATAATTATCAGCTTACGTTCAATAAAAATAGGACTCCTGGACTAAAAATAGGACTTTCTGTTAGTGGCAAAAGGAAGATCTGCCATATTTATTGAGTATGCCCCAGACTTTGTAATGGTCTTCAGCATTAACATGTTTACATTATTCTTTATACTAAAAATTACTACATTTGAAGTATTGAAATATCATTCAAGGTAATGAAGATTATGGCTCATAAAAAGTTGAAGCAGAACATCAAACAATATAAATTGTTAGTCACAATTTTTCTTATCAAATACTAGGAAATAATGCATAAATCCGGTGACACACAAAAGTAGGCCATATAAATTATACCATTACAGAAGACTTTTAACACAAGGCTAATGTAGTTATTAGGGCTAATAGTTATAGCATTATGATTGTAGCAATATGGGTAAATAAAATAAAGATAGTATTTAACATAACATGTAGCTTAATATAGAACTGAATCTTTTGATAGAACAAGAGCCTGTGAACCCTAGACCTTAGTTATTTTATCAAATCTGAAAGTTTGTTAGCTCATGCTACCAACACAGTATAAAGATGAACCATGAAGTTTTAGTGATTGTAGCTGAATGTAGCTTAAGCCGCTACCCTAAAATTGGTCTGGGTTTCACAAGCTCTTAGTCCATGAGTTTTAATGGTTTTAATTTCTACTACAAATTATGAATATTTAAATTCATAATTATTTGTAGTAGAAAACTGTCAACCAATCTAAAAAAGAACATGGCTTACCCAAATGTCTTGATAGCCCACTGCCTATGCTGCCAGGCATGGTAGTTCTTAGGGTCTTGAAGAAGGGCATCACCAGTCAACTCTAATTCAAGGCTGGGGTCTTGTAGCCACTCAACCAACACTCTTCTGTGGTGCCACACCTAAAATATACAAGATTTTACATATTACATACTTATTGGTATCAGTAATACATGTAAGGAAATACAAAATTTTTAGTGTCAGCTAAAAATAGGTAGTTAATTTCAATTACCTGATAGTTTTTTGGTGATTGTTTTATTACTGATTCCACATAATCTAATTCTGATCTCAAATCAGTACCCAAGGATTTCAGTATGTCTCTCCTGCAAGAAATTTGTCATACACCATTTCACATGATATTAAATAAAAGTAAAAAAGTATTTAATTCTGACAAATGTACATGTCACAGATCTTATATGCAAGTCATGAAATTAATATGAGTAACAATCATTATTTTTCTAACAATCAAAATGCCAATGCGTTACAAAATTATTGGCCTTGGTCTCAGATCGTTTGGCATAACAAACCACAATTAAAATAGCTTACCTGTACTGCCAGACTGTATAATTAGCCGCATTGAGTTCAACCGCATCTTTGGTCAGCTGTAGAACCCTTTCTGATTTCTCATTCTTTTGCAGCACAGCACGGAAATAGTCGTAAACATCTTCAACTGGAAAGAAAGTTGACATTCAAATTAGTACAATAAATCTTCTATTATTAAATATAACTTTAAATGAAATAGGTGGAAAATCACTTTATATTCCATGTCATAACTTGGTGGTAGCTAGTAAAACTATATTATAGGAAAATTACTAAGTTTATTTTGTAATAGGAGTCTAAAGGAAGCAATCACAAAAATTAAAGTCCGATTTTTAATTCGACGGAATTCTGACAGCTGTCATTTTTTGACAATTCAGATGTGATAAGCCTTTTTTGCTTTGAATTAATAATAAATAATATGAAATGAAATTTCATCAAGTACAACTTTTAAGAATGAACTATTGTTTGTTTTGTGAATTCAATGTTCACTAATTATTATGTACATTTTAGAGACTAAATAGAAAAAAACGTGTTTTTAACACAGAAAAACGACATATTAACATAAACGAAAATATGTATTGATCATCAATCATCATTACCGTCATCTTAATCAACTTGGATTATAAAATTGGCATCTTGTTAAATTGATTATTTTATGAAGCTAAATTTTATTAACAAAAGGATTTTCATAAAAAAGGTTTGTAACCCATGGATTATTGGCCAGGGAGTCCAGTAATAGAAAAATAATTTCCCATTTTTTTTTGTAACTTCAAAAATATGATAATATAAATTCAAATGACCATTTTGAAAGGATCAGTACATTTTTAAACCTTAGTTTTTCAAGTGAAACCTTAAATTCAAGAAAGGATTATTTTTTAATTTGTGAAAATGCTCTCCATTCTTAGTGGGAATGTTTCAATGTTGACAACACTTCTGAAATGTCAAAATTCCGTCGAATTAAAAATCAGAGTATAGTTTTTGTAGACTTAATAGGTAGAAGGAAATTATTGAGTTGCACTATATGTATGATTACTAAAATACCTACATCTTTCAGAGTGCGCAATGACTACAACTGGGTTTGGTCCATCGTCTTCAGGCACAGGGGTTATGTCTTTCCATTCAGGCCTATCCTTGTACAGAGTCCACACAATATCACTGTCGCCGCTGTCCGACATGCTCACTGTGCTAGCTAATGTGCTGTAACTATTGTTTGAAACTCGAGTTTTATTGTTCACGTGCTCCGAGTACCAGATAGGTAACTACTGTAATGCCAATGTAAATTCAGCGCCGCCGTGAATAAACACAGCACACCTAGGCTCAGCGCATAAGTGGTTCGTTATCACGACACGTATCTTTATTTATACACACAGGTAATTTATTTAACAATAAATGTCTCAGATTATTGAGATGGAAATTCTTGCCGAACCAGTGGTGTACTTTTATTGTACATATTGTCAAAGTCATTGGTGACAGGCGTTACAGCTGATGTCACGTATAAAAGTTACGTTCCGTTTCGATCGAAATAAAAGTTACGTTCAGTTTCGATCGAAGTGAAAATAAGTTAATAAAATTATGAACGGGGAAAGCCTCCCCCCAGTCATTATTAAGGTTATACCGCAGGTAGTCACGAAAACGTACCTTCTGGAACTGGACGGCAAACCCGAGCAATATGTACCTAGTTAGTTACTAGGTAGCCACTATTAAAAAACATACGGGTCGAATTGAGAACCTCCTCCTTTTTTGAAGTCGGTTGATAAGTCATCATCATCATCATCATTTTCAGCCTTAAGAATACCTACTGCTGCTGAACATAGGCCTCCTAGTCCAGTCATTATTTATTTATTTATTTATTTATTTAGGTTCACCATCAACTATTACATCAATATTTGCACAGACACTTTGACAATACAATAATGTAAATGTATAGCTATATTAAGGTAAACACCGCTTACATAATATTAAATGTTTGCTAATTATTTAAAGGAAAAGAAAAGAAAACAATAAAAAGTCTGTTAATCATTACAATTTACAACTCATTCAAACATGTTCAAAAGTCTCCATGACTGCCTTTCTAAACTGTTGACGGCTATCAACGAATATATCCACCGCCACACTGTGCTCATTCAATAACTTGCATAGACGAGGAATTGTGGAGCTCCTACCCAGGACGGTTTTGCGATGGGGGGCACTAAAGGGTGAGATCGGCTTGCGGGGGATCGTGCGTGGTACGCGGAGATTAAATTTACTCAGGAGTTGGCTGCTGTCAACCCTACTTCTCATGATGTTATGGAGAAAAACCAGGTCAAGCAAGTCCCTTCGCTGATTTAGTGTTTGCATTTTGATTTACAGACTTACAGCTGGGTATCTCGAATTCCGAGATTCTTACCTAATTTAAGCTTAAATGACTGGACTATCCCCCAATGTTTTCCACAATGGCCGGTTGGTGGCGGCCTTATTACTAAGTAAGTACTTAATGGGCTTCAAATAAAAACAACAACTTTTTCTAAATGTTTATATTCTATCAATAAATTATGTTAAAACTATTAGGTAACAAATACAGAGGAATCATTCAGTGCTTTTAAATAGATGTTAGTTACATTCAATTAGGCTAGCTAGGCAACTTCAGTTTGAGTTCGACACGATTACCAAGCGTAGGCGAGGCCAAGTCCGTTGGAGTAGGTCATGTGGGAGACAGCCGGAGCTGCGGAGTACGCCACGCCAAGAAGACCAGCTGTGGCCACCTAAAAAAAAATATTTCCCAGTTCTTCAACCATACATCGTATAACAGCGAACGAGTCTCGTGCTTTCAGCTTCTGGTACACACAACGCAATAGAACTGGAGGGACCTTGGGAGATACCTATTTTGTAACTTCAGTGGCGGGTGAAATCCTTTAGAAGTCATAATATGTGATATTTATTATTCTGTGGTGATATCGATCTATTGCCCATTCATCACGAAAGGTGCCGAAAAAGGTGTGGCGACAGTCATGCGACAAAAGGGGCAGCAAGCTACCGTTAACTCTTGGCTGACTTATTTTAGCGCAGTAGGCTTGCAAATCGGTTTTATATCCGTTGTCTATTGCTGGCATACAAGCACAAGCTTTGCTTTAGATTGAGCCCTGATAGCTTCACGTGAGTTCAAACTACAATGTCGTGTTATTATTAACTTAACACCTAACTTACCTTAGCTACTGGTGCGGCATAGGGCGCAGCAACTCCTACGTGGGACACGTAAGGGGCAGCATAGCCTCCATAAGCTGGCGCGACAGCCAGGCCAGGGTTGCTCACGCGGATGTCAGACTTGCGGACGCTGGAGAACGGGGTGTCGATGGCCTTGCTGTATGTCGACACCTGAAATTTTATTAATACTCTCACTAACGAGCTCAATTTTTAATAATTTCTCTGTTTTCTCTCCAACTTGTCTGGCCAGAATGGGGAGTGTTGGCTAAATCCTCCATTTGCCTCTGCTAAATTGAAGAGGATCGTGTTCCTGCAGTGGAGGCTAAAATGGGCCATGATGATGGTTTTAAAAAAAGGCCCGTTTGCGCAGTACCGTAGGTAGCTTTTGAACTAGGTTGAGAATCAAAACTTTGGCTGCCGCGAGCATTTATTCTGGTATGATGTAAAAAAATGTCCGATCCGAAAGGGATGATTCTACTTATTGCTCAAAAATTTAACTGTAGTATCTCTGATTATATGAATTTTGCGGTTAAAAACTATTAGGTCTGGTACGATAAGGCTATCTGAATGTCTCTTGTGATTTAAATCTCCTGTTTTATCGATCCCTTTTAGTGTTTCGAATCTCTGCGAGGTTAACGATACCTGTCCAAGATTGAAAGGTGACCGCAGAATGTTTGAGTGCTGGCTGGCGATCGCGGGCTGCGCTGGGTAGTTGTTGTAGTACCCGCCGTAGCCTCCGTACGCGACGGGCGCGAGTAGACCCCCGGCGTGGACGCACGCCGCCAGGCAGACGAGGAGGCTGATCTGGGAGCAAAAGTAGCCCTCCGTTCCAGTATGGGTACATAAAAAATACCTAAATATAGGTAACCCTAATTTAGGACCCTGAACCCCTAAAAAAATAGGAGAAAGTAAAACTTACAAAATATAATTCAGGGTTTCTAGGCTTAAGCTACCTACCTACTTACCTTTATGTAACTTACTTATTTATCTTTTTGGTAGTTAGAGATTGATAGAACACACTTTATTGTGTGTACACCACATAAAGAAAAAAAATGTTATGTTACTACAAAGTATACCTGTGATAATACGGCACAATTTAGGCGGTCTTATCGCTATAAAGCGATCTTTACAGACTCTACACTGACTTAAATAGCTCCCTACGTCACACGATATTAAAATGGACGTTAACTTTATGTTATTAAAGTAAAAAAGTGCTCTTTCACGAGAAGGTAAAAAGTAAAAAAAAACTAAATAAATAAAATACTTGGTTATCTACTCACTTTTGCGATCATTTTTCGTGTTCTCACCCCACGAAGCTTACGACTGATATGTTGCACTTACGGGCTCTGTAAGGCTTTTATACAATACAAGGCGGTTGTCAACAGTCTAGTCATAGTATAGGGCCATGTGATAACGTATGGGTGAGTGACGTAATGGACAATCATTCCTGCGTACACCTATGCCCCTTCGAGCTTAGGAAAATGTGGCGGGTGCGCCCAGGCAAGGACAGTGCAAGTTTGATTGAGCTTCTAAAGTTCCCTGTACACTACGCGCCGATAATTCGTTATTTCCGGTCAACATAGCATGAGAGCCATCTACGCTCACCTATTGTCCGGTGAAGCTGAAAAAGCCACTCACGGCTCATCACCAAGTCCATCCGAAAAAAAAACAGCATTCTATGGATTATGTGGCGACGGTCTTCATAGCAAGAACACGCTCCTCTTTATTTTTATCACTATCAAATGGGGATTTTGGCCTTATACTTCCCCACGCCACCCCTAGGATCGCCTCTTACGCTTGATTATTCGTCCAAGCTCTTACGACATCCACGAGAAGAATTGGAGTGGCCCTTTCTTCTGCCTAAAAAAACTTACCGGAAATAGCGCAGTTTAGGACGTTCACCCATAAGGTGGAAGACCTCATAAAGGTAGCAGTAAGGCCCAGAACAGACGGTGAAACGCAACTGCAACGAAACTGCAACTTTCTGATGATTCTGATGAATGAAACTGAAACTGAAGTTTCAAACTGGTCGCGTCATGTGTGGTCTCTCAACGGACGCTATGGCAGAAACTTAGATGCAACTCAAAAGTAACTAGCAGTTGCAGTTTCGTTGCAGTTGCGTTTCACCGTCTGTTCTGGGCCTAAGTAACACATGGATGCAAGCCGTTACCCGGTCTTAATGGAAATCATTGGTTCATTGGGGGAGGTCTTATGTTCAGCAGTAGCATCATCATTTGAAGATGAAGAGTTTTAACATTTTGCTACGTTGAGCACCTTAGCATTATTAACTACCTACTTTTTTAATTAAAGATATCGTGTTGTAAAAAATCAGCTATCGCCAAGTGTAGTAGACACTTTAGATATAAAACTTAATGACAGTCATATGGCACGCTTCTATCGAACCTTGTAATAATTAGGGCTATATGAGGTGTAGGTACCTAACTATGATAAACGGAGTGAATGCATAAAATTAATCGGAACTAAACTTAATGGGGCTCAAGCTCGTTTTATTGATAGGAACTTTCTGTTCGGTGGGCTTGGCACGATTGGAGCTTTAAAAGCACCAGAACGGAACTAACATCATTTCACTGAAATTATAATAGTCCTTTTGTAGAGTTAAAACCTACATCCAATTCACTGTAACTAGGTAAGTATCCGTAATATTAAGTACTTAGGGACCAATATTTATTTTTATTTATTTAGGACGTCTAATGAAACTCTACTTATGGTAGGTAGCACATGAATTATGGGCCCACTTTGTCAAAGGCAATAAAAACGCGCCGCCAGCTCACAAAGCGTATCCGTTCTTAAGTAGACCAAGTTCGTCTAGTCATAATTTGCGAAGCAGTAGCACAGAATAAATGTTTACGTAGTCTATATGGCGCGGTGGTTCAGACTGAGTGGGTTGTAGGTTCGATTCGATGTCGACGACGCACGGAGACACGACGAAAAGTCTTTAGATTCTAACTTGTAATACCTACTTACGTCTTTCTAGGTTAAATAGAATATATTAACCTAGCTATGTAGAGAAGAAACCATACTGTATGTAAATCGGTACCTACCTTGTAGGTAAGTTTTGGTTTGAGGTCGATTCTGGGATAGTTACTTTACATAAGTAATTGACACATTGGAGAAACTTCTAGCAAATTCCTTCAAAGAAAAATAACTCAGAGCTGTTGCCAATAAATACAAACCTATCTATTAACATACACGATCTCAATTACATGGCAATGTAAGCCCGCATTCATTCAACACGTGTGGGATTATTAGACAGGGCGCGGCCTGCAATGTCTGAGCTTTTCGCTTGTTTTGAGCCTGTGACCTAAACACGTTAACTCGTTTGATATCTAGCCGCTTGTCGATACATTTCGGTTAGCTGGGAATATCGACAAATGACGAAATAATGGCTTTTTCTTACCTTACGGCTTAGGTAGATACAGACGATACAGTTACTATCGATAGGCCTAAAGTCATTAAGGCAATATCATCATTATAAGACATGAACGCAGTAAAACATGTTTATTTCAGTTTTTGTGCCCCACCTGGAGACCGAACCCAATATTTCGAGGAGAACTCAACCACAGGACATGGAGGCGTGCGTTTCGATTGCACCAATTCATTTATTAATATTATATCCTATCAACTTACTTTGTTGTATATTACATTCTACTAACGTTGCCAAGCCACCACCGACCGATTTATCAAAGGTATCGCCAACAGAAAAGTAGGACAAAACAAACCAGAACGGTTTCTAGACAATTACATCCGTCATGCTGCCCGAGTGCCCCTAGGTGCAGCCAAGTGCATCGTTTGCGCTGCAGTTCAAGTGCACCATCTATAACATTGTCACACACCATACAAAGTAGACATTCGCTGCCGGTGACCAAAACATGCATAGATTCAAATATTACGCTACCATCCTGCTATGTGTGTTACTGCAGACTCGTGGTGATAAATGGTATCCGGCTACGGTCATCAACAAACAAGAAATGCGGGATTTTGAGAAGGACTCATTCACGAAAGAAGCAAGGCACATGCCATCCAAATTGAAACACGATCATGAAGCACCGCGCAATATGCAGCCAAATTCTACAAGAAAACAAATACGAAGCCCTGAATTGTTTGGATCTTCAAACTTGCACGTGACCAGCGAATATTACAGTCCTGTTGGAAACAGCACCCGAAGACCAGTGGAAGTCATACATTACAACAATACCATAAATGTTGTAAATATTATGAGAAGAACAAAGCATAAGAAAAAAATTGTCAAGAGATGTCCTGGTGTATCCTCGCTACAGGCAAAGAAGCTTGCTGGGAACCAGGCTGCAAGAACGAAGTTTCTGGAGGTGTTTGAAGTGGTAGAGTTTGACCATGTTACTTGCATATCCAGTAGTGGGTTGGAAGGGACTTGTCTTCATGAGTATGAATGTCAGTCCAATGGAGGTTCTACTATGGGGACTTGTGCTGATGGGTATGGAACATGCTGCGTCAGTAAGTCAATCTTCTGTTGTTCTTTTCATTAATCTGGGTACTTACGCGTAATTAAACCAATATATGAGTTTATAACACTGCACAACAAAATTGCAACTTTTGGCTGATGATTGACTTTCATTACAAAGATATTCTTGTTGTATCCCTACAGCTCTGTTCCCATGTGACGGGCAGTCATCAGAGCCAGTAGGATGGTTCACAAACCCAGGGTTTCCTACACCGAGTGCAGACAGAATATCGTGTACATTCACACTGAACAAGGCATCTGATGACATCACACAGATCCGTTTGGACTTTGCTACTTTTGAAGTAAGGCTCTATATTATAGGGGAGGAGAATTGAGTGCTGTTTTACTAGCTTAACTTTATATTTGTATTTCAGTTACTGGGACCTACTGCTGGAACATGTCAGCAAGACCAATTCGTGGTATCAGGTCAAAACACGAACAGCTATGTCCCGATTCTTTGCGGAATCAACACCGGTCAACACGGTAAGGCATCTTAGTCTCGGGTAATGTTGTAACCTCGTGTTCAAAAATATTTTACATTTCTGCGCAATTTTAACTTGCATTTAATAAATTATAATAAGTTGTGTCCTACCTCATACCTCATCCTATTCGTTGCTATATTTAACTAATTTTAATTCAGTATTCATCGAAGTTGGAGATACTGACGGGCCAATTTACCTGTCTGTTCAAACCGCGTCACCAGAATCCAGATTATATTCGATCAAGGTAAATAATAATGTTAATCGCTTAACCTACCTATAGTTACCGCATTACTGAAAACATATTAACAACACAAATAACAAAACCATATTTTTAAAGGTGACCCAGCTGGGTTCAGCTGACGAATTAACAGCGCCAACGGGGTGCCTCCAATATTACACGGAACCACAAGGATTTTTGGAATCGTTCAACTTCAGAGATAGATCAGAAATTGGAATACCAAGAGCTCCCAGTTATTTGGTATGCCTTTTGTATTCCACATTGCGGCCTTAAGGTCCGCTTTCCACCAAGACGAAGTAGGTAACCAGTAAGTTTGAATAACCAATCGATTAAATGAAATTGACGAATGAAATCTTATGGTTATTCAAAACATTTCTCCTCTACGCTCCACCTTGGTGGAAAACCGGCCTAAAGCTGCAGAGTAGATTCAATTGAATGAAAATTAATTCCAATAAGTATTATGAATACATTCCTGTCTCTGTTCCTATTCTAGAACAATCTAAATTATGCAATGTGCATACGTCGCGCCGCCGAAACCTGCAGCGTGACATACACCAACGTCGATTACATGCAAATTGTCAACTATGACTTGGGTAAGAGCAATATTAATGTTCCTTAAATTACGTTATTATACCTTGGTTGGATATACGGGAAGTACCTGGATGTGGGCAGCCAGTAGTCAGGACCGGCCGTGGTGGAAAATCCTTGGGGGAGGCCTATGTCCAGCTGTGGACATCATTTAGAACACGAACCTTGGATATGTTGAGGACCACGTCGCTCTACAAGCGTAGTCACGCGCCTCATTCTGTCCACGCTAAATAAGTAGGGTAGACCGGGTACAATAGTACCACGGGTCAATAGTACCATCGGCGATATTTCTTCATACAAGCGACGTTAGGTTGTGTGCATAGCGTCAGAATATGCGCTTTTTGTGTTTCCATCCGCTCACTAGTCGGCGGCGCTTGCGCTGAGAAACGAAGGTGTACAGGAAGGATTTTTGTTTTTTGCCCAGCCGCAGTACGTTTTAATTCAATTGTAGCGGTACAATCAACCCCGTGGTACAATTAACCCCCGGAACCTTATTTTATACTTACTACATAATATTTTAAATTAGTTATAATAAAATAGGTTATTATAAAACATTCACATGGTTATTATTTTTACAATTTTAGGCATACCTACCTACTGAAATATTCTAGGCTCATTCATAGTTGCATGCATTAAGCATTAATTAAATACATACTTAACGTGTTTTATTAAATAAGTAGGTAAAGCCTGGTCTCAAAGCCTGGAGCCTGGAGTCAAAAGTACGGATCGCGGATCAACGGATCTATTCCTTTATGAACAGGCTTATGAAAAAATCTTAAAAAGACGAAGCAGTAGTAGGTATAAATAATCAGGGTCAATTGTACCAGGGGTCAATTGTACCCTCATACAAAAATAGATTTTTCAGTTTTGATATTTCTATCATTGTTATTAATGCTTATTGTTGTTTCAGAAGCAATATCCGAGCCAAATAGATGGCATATTATGTAGAAACAGTTAGTTTTTTTGTTTTTATGGAAGAAAAGTTATTGTTTTGTTTTTAAACTTAAGTGTTGATTTTTCATACTTGTTCCTAAATATTTTCGATCTCAATTAATAAATACTGATGATTGTAGGAGATTAAGAGTACAGAATACCAATAAAGGTGATGATTAGATAAACACAACAACTTTTATTGCCTCATATATTATTGGTACAATTGACCCGTTGTAGGGGTCAATTGTAACATGAGACATCGTACAGTTCAAATTGGTTTTTCATTAAGTATTCGAAAGAATAGTTCAACTCTGCATGCTTAAATTTGTAGCTTAAGAGTCTAGTTTTTACAGCATCCTAACAGAATAAGTTATATTTCATTAGGTTTCTCAATATTTAACAATTTCCAAAAAATGGTACTATTGTCCCCGGTCTACCCTACTTAGATAGATAACATATCACGGAGTCGGGGGGGAGTCGGGTGGTTTTATTTAAATACGTAGCTGCCACTTACCTACCCAAAGTAATAGAGTGAGTGAGAGATAAGTTGACTAACTATCCACTTCCAGATGGTCTGCCCGTGATCCCGCACGGGCAGGCAGGGGTGGAAATCTTCAACTGTCCGAGTGATTGGCTGCTGATATCAGCGACGCGGCTTTGTGGCGATCGCCTGAACGACGGCGCTGTTCTACAGGACTTCTCCTTAGATGCACCAGTCACAGGTTTAGTTAAAATATTTATCAAACTAATAAGACATCAGAGTATTTAACAACAATATAACGGCCACATGGCTTAGTCGTGGTTGGGTACTTATTTACTGTACAAAAAAGCTATTTGGTGGCTTGGAATGAAAATCACACAAAAGTGAATAGTTGGAAGTTGAAAACCTGAAATAATCTGACTTTAGGTAGCTAACATTATGAAAATTACAAGAACCGACCGCATAAAAAGTCAATTTATTATTCTTTTTTTTCACAGACAGTAATGCCGGCCCAATAGCAATTTGGTTTCGATCAGATGAAGGATACGTCGGACGAGGCTTCAAGCTCGAATACCTACAGAACACGTGCAAAGGCCCGCCATGATGATTAAATAAATAAATAACAATGTAAATTACACCAAATGTAAACTTTTATTAAAAATAAACATTATATCTTATTAAGTGCCCAGAGCAGCTTGCTAAAAATAATTTATATTAACTACAGAGTTAAAATGCAGGTTAAAATGCTTATCATTATAATAATAATTTGTAATGGTTATTGTGACAGTACATTTCCCTAAACTGAAAATAAGCTCAGAATAAATATGTTAACTTAATTTAACTAAAAATAAATTATTATATCTCGGAATTAAGTTGAACATGTAATTTATTTATTAATACTAAATTTAAATGCTCAGGTAAATTATAACCACAACGTTAAATTAATTTTGTCCCATCAACTAAATCAGTAAACATAAAAAAACTGATACAATTTAATACAAAAACTAAGATACTTATAAATAACATATTGACCAGTGTACACAATATTAAGCCAACAATAAAAACATACACAACTAGGCTTTGAAGTCGAATGAAGCATTTATAAACTAATTATAGGTAGGTAATCATAAAAAACTCTAAAACTGTACTTTATTATAGCAATAATCATGAAAGTAATCTCTCTCCAAATCATACTACAGATGACAAAACAAATGATCTAATAAGAAAATGCTTTTTAATTTCATTAAAATAATTTCTGTATATAATACTTTCATTTTACCGCCTTCCCCTTCATATTTTTTTTTAAGTAACTGTCCTCACCATAGGTTGTCTGGAAGAGATCGCTTCATAGCGATAAGACCGCCTAGTTGTACCTTGTGTGTTCCTTTTCTTTCTGTTCTTATCTTTGGTGTGCAATAAAGTGTATTTATTATTATCATTATTATTATTTTAAAAACATTTGAGGGATGATGCTGTCTTGTTTGTTTTATTTACTTTTCTGCGTTTCTTTTTGTGCCTTTTCTTTCAGACCATCCTTGACAATTTTGTGGAAAGATAAAATAATACTCACAGCAATGGCCCGTAGAAGGCCCATACTAAATATTTGCAATAAAACCTGAGAAGTGCTCTCAACTAATCCACCATTTAACAATGCCAGCACTTTTCCAGAGAAGCCAATAACAGAGTATGTTTTTCCAGCCTGTAAATAAAATAAAATAAAATTAGATTTAAAATTGCAAAGGCCATTACATCATAGCAGGTAAAAAATAAAAATCTTAATTAGAAGAACAAAAAGAAAATCAATCAATGTCATGAGCTGTGCTCCAGTGCTATTGTGTATCTATAGAATATTCATAAGTTTTTTTGTAACATTAGTCAGTTTGAATTTTAATTAGGTATTTACATTTAGCATACAGCAGATATTTTCAAAATTTTTACTTTGAGATAATAATGATGTTAAATAAAACTAAACTAATAAACAGTTTGAAAAAGAAAGTTTTTCTCAATCCTAAATTATGGTGTCTCAACTTTAACCTATCATCAAAGTACTAAGGCAAGGACAAAACAGAAGTTATTACTGCTGATAAACAATTAACAAAACATGATTCTCACCATTGCATCTTGAATCAATTTTTTCCCAATTTCTTCAGGAGAATGCAGACCTCCAGAGCCAGAAATGAGTTTAGTCTCTTTAGGTTTAGAAAGCTCCTCATTTGCGAAGCCAGGTGTATCAGTGTCTGGAGGGAACACCAGAGTTAAGCGAACATTTGTACCAACAAGTTCCATGTTTAGTGCTTCTGCTAGACCTCGGACTGCCCATTTGCCAGCACTGTACGCTGTGTAGCCATATATACCTGAAATACATAATACAAATTATTTGCAATGCTTTTAAAATATTGCGAACTTATAAGACATGATTTTGGGAGGCACAGGATATAAAGTAATAATCACAATACACATTCAGTGTCAAATAGTTTGTTACACTTTTAGGAATAAGGTTTTTTGGCCACTTTGGGTGTCACAAACTAATGCTGAATGTACAACCCAAAAAAAGTTTTTTATTAAATAAATGTATGTAAGTATACGAACCAATAAATGCAGCTTCAGAAGACACAAACACTATAAGACCCTCATTTCGTTCCTTCATGCCTGGGAGCACATATCTCGTGGGATATGCAGAGCCAAAATAATTCAGATCAATCATCATCTTTATATCCTCCACCTTCATCTGGTCAAACTGACCACAAATACAAGTACCAGCACAATTAACAAGCATGAATATAGGGCCCATTTCTGCTTCGATAGCTGTAAAATGTTTCTGTATATCATCATAGTTAGATGTAACATCTATGGCTGAATAGACCACCTTCTGCTCTTTCTTATCAGCACAATTTTCAAGAATTTCAGTAACAGCCGCACACAGTTTGCCAACATCGCGGCCTATAATCGTTACATTGGCTCCTAACCTGGCTGCTTCTATCGCTGCCGCCTTCCCAATACCGCTGGAACCGCCGGTGATAACGACATGCTTGTTTCGCAAGCTTTTGTACACGATTTTTTTGTCCAATGAATGATATAAAACATAAGCCACGAGACTCGTGACTGTAAGAAATATAGAAAGTATGTACAGAAACATTATTTACCGCTTACTTTTGTAAACCAATTAAAACAAAATTACGAACGCGTATGACCGACTTCGACCAACTGATTACTGATAACTATTGACACTGACAGATAACTGACACTAATGACAGTTGAAGGGATGTAATACTACATTCACATTCATTCGATTCGATTTACTAAGATAATGATACTACTAAATTCGCACCATTGAAGCCATTAGACAGAATAATAATACATAGAAAGTGGTGCCAGCTGGTGTATGAAGAAGGTAAACTAGATGATAAAGCAGAGACAATTGGTAAGTTTTCTTATACCATAGACTAAAATTAGGCAAAGATCATAGACTGCTCTCTCAACAGAACGCTGTGTTTTATTAAGGCACATAATAAGATAATGATGATGACAGGTTAAGGATCGAAAATGCTAATTTTGGTCAAAGCTATTTTAGTTCTCATTACTTATTTTCAAAATTACCTATCGATAGGTTTTAAATGTAGATACCTAGATTATTTTAATGAAATACATGTCATTGTCATTAAATTTTTGTAAGACTAGGCGCAGACCACCGATTTTTAGTTGGCCGATAGTTGGGCCCGATTTTAATTTGTATGAAGAATCGGCCAAATCAATTCGGCATAATGTGCGCACTTCCATGCATGCCCTTACTGATCAACTACCCGACTAAACTATCGGCTGACAAAAAATCGATGGTCTGCGCCTAGGCTAACAAATAAATACTGACACTTTTGCTGTAAAAAAATATTAATGTTTTTTGTTTTTTTTTTGTATGGATGAAATGAAACAAATAGTGGACGATTTTGATTAAGCCTTGACAGATCTTGCTTTAAAAATATTTTGAATTTCGCCTTCTCAATCAGCGCGCGACTAAGTAAAAATGTTACTTTTTTCCAAGTTACATTAATTTATCCAAATTATAAAACTAACTCGCGGCATCATTTCATTGAACTCCGATATGGTAACCGTGTCGGGTTTTAGTGGGTAGGTAGACCCAGCTGCGCCATTCGGCCTTTAATAAGCAGGCCCTCATAGGAAGTCCCACATAACCCAGTGCATCGGCCAGTGGGTCACATCGGGTAAACGAGCTCGAACCGGGCTTTTTAGTCGAGTTTGAAAGAAAGAAAGAAAAAATATTTATTTGGTACTAAATGATACACATTGACATTACAAGTTTATAAAAAAATCTGAAATAATAAAAACTGTGGGTCTAGACAAAGTGCAAATTATAATCGCAAACCAGTCGAAAAGTGGTCGAAAAGCCCCTTTTTTATTATTATTACAAGCTTTTTACAAGCTTTTTATTATTATAGCCCGACCAGGAACATAAAAACCCTCGCCATGTTGCGGAAAACTAATGGTACTAATTTCTTTTAATGGCAACAGTATAGTTCCAAAATACTGGACTGTCCTGTCGATGACATTGACAGCGGGGCGCCACCGTCAATACCGAATCGCTGGTTCCGATTTTTGCCATGTTGGAAACCATATAGTTGAACGATGGTAGCGCCCCCCTGTCATTGAGTTTGGCGGGACAGTTCAGCGTGGGTCATCTATAACCACCACAGATAAGGATAGATGCAGCATGTGTCAAAAATTGTATGAANCACTCCGAATGACTGTCGTGACTAATCCGATCAAAATGGCGCGAATATTTGTTATGCGCAACTTTAGGGTCCTGTTACTTTTGTATTTCACAATTATTATTAGTTTTACTTATATTTTCAAGTTTTATTAAAAGAAAAATAAATTGGAAACTTGCCATTATTGCCACTATCGGTAGGTATTTCTTAGAACCAAAGTTGTTTATCTTTGGAGCTGAATGATCTAGTGTCCGACCGAATGTTCGGTTTCGGTTTCGTTTTCGGTTGAGTTTCGGTAAAAACACGAGTTTCGGTTTAGTTTCGTTTTCGGCGGCAAACTTGCCGAAACTACGACCGAAACCGAATGTGCATTCGGGAGTTTCCGCGCTGTTATCGGTCATGTTCGGCGCGTTGAAAGAGTGAATGAATCTGATCAGAACCAATTTCGTGATTCGCTCGCTTGTTTGTTTGCTGTTATATTTGTAAGTTTTATCTCGTTATAACATAAGAGCGGGTAGTAAAGAAAAAATAATCAAGTTTAATCTAACCCATATTTTTTTTTGGTTCACAAATTCTATACGTAAACAAATATTAGTTAGGTAGTTAGTAATGAAATGACTATAGTGCATTTCATGGTGATAATATTATGGACTCAGAGTTTCAAAGTTCATTTTAGTATTTATCACCAAGGTATTCAAGTGGCAATTACAGTAGATACTAACTTACGTACGAGTACTACCAATTTTGTTTTGAGAAATTATTAAGGTAAAAGACCCGACCATAGGGCGGGTTGTGTAGATTTCCTGAATATTGCGAGTAATTAAAAAAAAATCTAGACTATAAATCCTTCTTTTTCTTTTTTAATACATAATTTGATACCTTAGAGTGAAAAGGCGCTTTATACGTTCAATTTTAATGCAATTTAAAGAGAAAACAATAAAGACTGACTGATTAGAATAACGTTTTCTTTATTTTTCCCTCAAAATATGAGCCTTGTAAGGAAGTTTCGGTTTCGGTTTCGGTTTCGGTTTCGGTTTCGGTTTCGGCCGAAATAGACACCGTCGCCGAAATTCGTTTTCGGTTTCGGTTTCGGTCGTAAAACTAGTNGGAAGTTTCCACACCCTGGATTACTGATTATTGACACTCAGACACTGACAGATAACTGACACTAATGACAGTTGAAGGGATGTAATACTACATTCACATTCATTCGATACGATTCGATTTACTAAGATAATGATGACAGGTTAAGGATCGAAAATGCTAATTTTGGACAAAGCTATTTTAGTTCTCGTTACTTATTTTCAAAATTACCTTTCGATAGGTTTTATAGATACCTAGATTATTTTAATGAAATACATGTCATTAAATTTTTGTAAGACTAGGCGCAGACCACCGATTTTTAGTTGGCCAATAGTTGGGCCCGATTTAAATTTGTATGAAGAATCGGCCAAATCAATTCGGCATAATGTGCGCACTTCCATACATGCCCATACTGATCAACTACCCGACTAAACTATCGGCCGACAAAAAATCGATGGTCTGCGCCTAGGCTGACTAATAAATACGACACTTTTGCTGTAAAGAAATATTAACATTTTTTTTTTGTATGGATGAAATGAACAAATAGTGGACGATTTTGATTAAGCCTTGACAGATTTTGCTTTAAAAATATTTTGAATTTCGCCTTCTCAATCAGCGCGCGGTTAAGTAAAAATGTGACATTATTCCAAGTTACATTAATTTATCCAAATTATAAAACTAACTCGCGGCTTCATTTCATTGAACTCCGATATGGTAACCGTGTCGGGTTTTAGTAGGTAGGTAGACGTAGACCCAGCTGCGCCTTTCGGCCTTTAATAAGCAGGCCCTCATAGGAAGTCCCACATAACCCACTGCATCGGCCAGTGGGTCACATCGGGTAAACGAGCTCGAACCGGGCTGTTTAGTCGAGTTTGAATGAAAGAAAGAAAAAATATTTATTTGGTATTAAATGATACACATTGACATTACAAGTTTATAAAAAAATCTCAATTAACTTGTAAAAATTGTATAGATGACCCACGCTGAACTGTCCCACCAAACTCAATGACAGGGGGGCGCTACCATCGTTCAACTATATGGTTTCCAACATGGCAAAAATCGGAACCAGCGATCCGGTATTGACGGTGGCGCCCCACTGTCAATGTCATCGATACGATAGGACAGTCCAGTATTTTGGAACTATACTCGACTAAAGTGCTTTAGTCACAATGTCACATCGCGAGTAGTTTAGTTAATAAAGGCGATAACATACTCTTCTAAATCAGTCAACTAATGCGATCAAGGCTTTACTTGGCTGTTTAACACAATGCCTTTGCCTTTTCCGACATATTTTATGGCACAAGTACACTATGCAGGAAATTGGCCAAGACGTAATAATGTGAACACCATCTCGGTTCCTTTTTTCTCCTCTCTCCTCGCATATTTCGCATTCGCCCATACTTCGGTGTGCGGGCGAATAGTTTGCGACTTTGCGTATAGTGTATTTGCGCCATTGAGATGGTGGTCACTGAGACTGACAGGTGGTCACACTGCTGTCAAAAATAAAATCGATTTCTTCTGATTTCTTCTTTCATCTTTTCGCGTAAAATAAATTGTTGCACATCTTTGCGGATTATTATCAATTTATTACCATTACTTGTTAGATAGCTTTTTGAATCTCAATACACCATGATATTGTTTGTAAAACTGAATACATAAAATTAAATATTATTCTTCTTCTTTCCGTTCGTGTGTTTTTGTTGCGTTAAAAAAATGAATTTTGAGAAGAACAGGTTGGATACATTTGGGACTTGGCCCGCCTCAGCTCCTGTTGAGCCAATACGAATCGCAAAAGCGGGTTTCTATTACACAGGCCAAGGTACAGAGGTGCAATGTTTTAGTTGTGATGGTAAAATATCGCAGTGGAACTATGGTGATCAAGTGATGTGGCGTCACAGGCAATTGGAGCCCAGTTGTGCGTTTGTGGTGAATCCCGACCAATCTGGGAACGTGCCTATCGTGCTTAACTCCTCAAGTGATTCCCCAACCGAATGTCCTCCAGATGAGTGGAACCCGGCGGATTGGTCCTTCACATTTGGACAACATGAGGTTGAAGAAGAATATGGAAACTTTGAACACTATGGAGTCAATGAAGACGATTTCTTATACCGAAATGATGCGCTACGGCTGTTGTCTTTTAGCAATTGGGTTGTGAGCAAGACTATTTATTACTTTTAATACCCTAGACAAGTTGCAAAACTAGACAGTTGTAATTTCAAAAGGGTTTTGGCTCTGGTGTTATTTGTAGAAAGTTACTTCGCTCTGTGAAGGGATTAGATTTTCGGAAAGATCAAAACATGCCACTTGTCTAGGGCCCAAGGCCTTTTATGTTTATAGTCAATATCATAATGTTTTAAGAATTTCTTCTTAGTTGCATGCTTGTATAATTGACACTACAACATCTAATATTTACTTGTTCTTTAACCTTGCCCTTGTGAAGTTAAGGTTGTAGAACACTAACTTTTCAAATTCAACCTCATAGAAAACCTTGAGACAAGGTGAAACTAATGCAGGTTTAGTTAATGCACCTATTTAGTATAGCATGTGGTTATACCTATGTAAATATTAATTTGAACATTTATGGGAAATGTTTATAAGTTATTGCATGTTAATGTAAAATTTATGTCAAATAAACCTGAATATACATCGAGTAGGTTATAATAGGTAAGGCGGTTTTAGAATCGCGCTGACTGCTCGCTGATCGTCGGCACTGACAGATCAATATGTATGTAATTGAAGGGAACGTTCCTGAGTGACGCTGATCGCTCCGCGCCGACGCTTCATACATTTCGGCTGTCAGCGCAGACGGTCAGCGTGACTCTAAAACCAGCCTGAAATAGAAACAAAATTCACTGATTATCGTAGTAGGCAGTTAAAGTTATCACTTATCCCCTAACTCTTAATCTCTGCATGTTTTCATGGTTGCTCTATTGCCTAACTCAGATTTTTCTTTTAAATAGGATGGTTCAATATCCAGAGAGGCTTTAGCTGCTGCGGGGTTCTACCATTCTGGGGAGGGTAGACTTCGGTGTGCGTGGTGCGGAGGGGAGTTGGCTCCGTTTAGAAGATTCGGATCACTGGGGGCCCCATTAGAAGTACATAGAATGTAAGTCTTCTAATAACACCATATTACATGATTTCTTTATTTAACATGCCATTATTGAACATCATGTATGTAAAATTTCCTTTCAATTGCTCTTTTGGTCCATCTTATATTCAATATCTAAGTTGTTTACATAAATATTGTAATCAATGTTACATTCCCCTTAACCTAATCTCATAACATAGTCATAAATCTTGATTATTTATTTATTCTTTCTAGGGACTTTACTTGTGTTTTCTGTTTACACAATAAGATAAACTGCTGATTATGTGTCAGGTATTTCCCGAACTGCGCGCACGCCCAAAGGCTTATGGAGTCAGCCAGGGATGTGACTCGTCAGATACAGGAGGCCCGCGCGGCGGCGCCGCCGAGGGTCCGAAGGGACGAGTCTCCGGGGTACTCTTTCAGTGACTCGATGTCTGAGCCCGAGAGGGCGGGAGGGACGCCTCCTCTCCCCGAGCCACCAAGTCAATCGTAAGTTCATCATCGTCATTAGGTCATTTAGGTGCTTATTACAGAACAGAGCTCAGAACTTGATTCAATTTCTTGCTCCGATTGAGACTTTTGATTGGCTAAAATTGAATATTTAGACCAATCATTGAACATATCCATGAACTTAAATTTAATTGTGTTCATTGTTTGATATATGGACAATGAACATTAATCCACTACATGTGCCATGTGGACCCAAAATAAAAGACAACAATGAAAACAGGTGCATCAAGCATATTTGTGCAAAGCCTATAATAAATTGATAATGATCTGCAAGTCACGAATAGATAATTATATAATCTACTTACAATTATCTCTAACTATAAATAAAAGTCATTTAAAGTGATTGGATATATTTATAAAAAAAATACCCTTACAATATTTAGGCTATTTTTACCAACGATTTTATAATCACTGAAGATAGTGAAAATAAAAATCATTTAGTTAGATAAAAGTTTTAATCTTGAAGTATGCTGGTAAAATGCAGTATTAAATAAAATTACATTGTTTTTAATAAAGTAATTTAATAAAGCCTTTTTTTGTCTTGTTGCCGACCAATCCTTATACGTCGTTATTGTGCATGTGTAAAGTTTGGCCAATAATGTTGCATGGGGAGTAAGGGGAGAATGGATTTAACAGCTTATCCTACCCAACCGTCAACCCTTTGTATCTTCGTCCATTAGCAGGTTCTTGGCCAGCGCGTTGCTATGTCTGTCGAGTCTCTGTCTGTACTTTTTGCTGTAGTTGCTCACTTCCTCCTTTACAGTCGGCATCTCAAGGTATTCGTGTATTTCTGCGTTTCTCACAAACCAGTGGGCGCTGGAGACTGTTCTCAATGCGATGTTTTGGAATCTCTGTATTATTTCCAGGTTGGAGTTGCTAGCAGATCCCCAGAGTTCTATTCCGTAGGTCCAGATTGGTTTGATAATAGACTTGTAGACGAGCAGTTTGTTGTTGATAGAGAGTCGGGATTGTCGTCCTATTAGCCATGACAGGTTCCTGAGTTGCATATTTGCTTCAGTTCTCTTGGCTTTAACATGATTTGCCCAGGTTAGCCTTCTATCGAGGTGCAAGCCCAGGTACTTCACAGTGTTATTGGTTGGCAAGGGTTTGCCTTCCAAGGTGACAGGAGCACAATCACCTTTTCGAAGGGTGAAGGTTATTTGTGTGGACTTAGTTACGCTGGGCCTGATTCTCCATTTTTTCAGCNCGTCAACCTCACCTGCACGCGCCAGATGGCGACACTACCCAATAGGTTACTGTGGTGCTCCCTGCTAGATAACAGACGAGGCACTGGCGACCGAGCCATGGCGGTATAACCATACACCTGATCAGGCAACTGTTCGGAGGAGGCTACAGCGAGCCTTAGAGCCTAAATAGCTCTTAAAAGGTCTGGAGTAAAGAAGGGAGTTAAACAACTATGAAAGCAAATTTGAAAGAGAAACTACCCCAGGAGGGTACCGCTGATACCGGAGAATCCCTCTCTGGGCTTGAGTCAGCCCAGCATAACTTGACTGACCCAAGCCCAGGCTGCCCTTCGTATTCTGGGGGGGGCACAACTTTGCTTAATGAAGGATTGACTACCAAGGAAACACCAACTGACAAACCAAGGAAATTACTCACACAACAACTATTCCACCCAGGGCTATTCAACCGTCAAAGATCTGCATCCTTTGGTGAAGCAAATGAAAACAGCATGAGAAATGAATGCAATCTAAATAGACCGCAAACGCTTACTCAGAAGCGAACTCGCTCTCCAGATGAAAAAGAATTAAAGAGGAACCAAGCAAAAAGACACATAGCCAACCGAGAGATAAATAGCCATGCCCACAATGCCAACCTAAATATTGAGACAAGCAACAGTTTTGCCTTGCTTGATGAAGAAGGGACAGACGTCCCAGTAAAACGCATACCAAAACCACCACCGATCATTCTCTATGGGGTGGACGACCTGAGCAAACTCACCGAAACAATTGAAGAAGTTGTAGGGAAAGAAGACTTCACCTACAAGATACTCTCAAAGAGCAAACTCATCATAACCACAAACACCATAGAAAAATACAAAGAAATGATAGAGCACATCCGATGCAAGGGTTTAATAGGATACACTTTCACGCGAAAAGACCAAAAAAGTATGCGGATTGTTATAAAACACCTCCACTTTAGTACACCAAAAGATGACATTGTTGCTGCAATAGAGAAAACTGGAAACACTGTACAGGGAGAAATTGTAACAGCCCGAAAACCAGGAACCAAAGAACCATTAAATACATTCTTTGTTAACATAGCCCAACATGAGAACAATAAATTTGTGAAAGACATAAAAGTAATCTACAACCAAAGAGTACTCATAGAAGACCCGAAAAGAAAAAACTCCGTAGTACAATGCAAGAGATGTCAACAATATGGGCACAGCAAAAATAACTGTATGCGACCTTACAGGTGTGTTAAGTGCGCTGGAGCCCACGAAACCACTAAATGCACTGTTGATAGAAACACCCCAGCACAATGCGCCCTATGCTCTGGATGCCACCCTGCTAGCTACAAAGGATGTCATGTATATAGAGAAGTCTTAGCTAGAAAACGACTCACGAACAAATCTTTAGTACGACAAAAAGCGAACATAAATGACGACTATGACGGAGATCGGCAGACTTCACCGTACAAGAATAACACTCCAACAACTGCTACAACCGAGCCCAAAGACACTGTTAAAAAACTATCAGACCAAAGCAAAACACAAGAACTGACTGCAGCTCAATGCCATCAACTCTATAGTGAAATAGTTAAAAATAGACGATCGAAATATAACCAAAACACAAAAGAAATGGAAAAAATTATAGACCTTACAAACACACAATATACAGAAAAAGACCCCAAGCCCCTAAAATCGCAGAAACAAAATATAAGAAACAAAGGAGATCACATGGAAAATAAAAGAACATATACTGAAAATAAAGAAGATTACACTCAAAGAAAAAGAACATATACAAGAAATAACGATGACATTGTGCAGTCTCAGAGAACATACGCAAGAAATAACGCTAGGCATGAGCCACAGAAACCAGAAATGACAAAAACGGAACCTGAATATACTCTACGTGAACGCAGACCGAATCTAGAAACGCTAATAATGTCACAAACTGAAAGAATAGACCAGCTGATCGCCCAGCTAAGTACTATGATGAACCTTATCATCACTCTCATGAGTAAACTATCCCAATGACTTCCCTAAGAATCGCTACCTGGAATATAAATGGTCTTGCGCCAAACAAACAAGAACTAGACATATTGCTGAAGGAGAATAAGGTTGATATAGCTCTAATATCGGAAACTCATCTCAATGATACAAAAACATTCAATATGAAGAATTATAAAGTATACTGTACAAACCACCCTGACAGTACCTCTCACGGTGGTGCTGCTATCATTTTAAAAAATAACATAAAACACCACCTGCATAGTCAATTCCGAGAAGACTGGATGCAGGCCGTTACTGTTACTATACATGAGAAAATGGGCCCCATAAATGTTAGCGCTATTTACTGCCCCCCAAAGCATAACCCAAAACAAAATGAGTTCGATGGATACTTTGAGAGTCTGGGAAGCCGATTCATAAGTGGCGGTGACTGGAATTGCAAGCACACGTATTGGGGTTCAAGATTGACGACTACCAAAGGAAGAGAACTAAAAAAGAGTATCGACAACCAGAAACTAATAACACTGGGAACAAACGAGCCAACGTACTGGCCGACTGACGCGAATAAAATTCCTGATCTTGTGGACTTCTTTGTTGTGAAAGGTCTATCAGAAATGTACTTCAAAATTGAATCCTCACTTGACTCTGTATCTGACCACACACCAATTATAGCAACGTTTAGTACCTCAGTAATAACTAAAGAACCGATATCGACATTATTTAACCACAAAACCGACTGGGACTCATTTGCAAGATACATAGAACAGGAAATAGACTTGAAAGTTAAATTAAAAACAGCAGAGGATATAGAAGAAGCTGCCTTCTATATAACAAATCTCATCCAGGTCGCCGCGTGGCGTGCAACACCGGCCCTAAATAACCCTGCCCCAAAAAATAATATTCCACTTGAAATACGTAACAAGTTGGTAGAAAAAAGAAAACTACGAAGGCAATGGCAGACAGGTAGACATCATGGTGACAGAGCAAAATATAACAGAGCCTCCAGAGAGCTGAAAGAACTTATAAAAGAGAATCAAAATGAAGCATTCCAACATAAGCTGTCCAATTTATCCGCTCACAAAAAAGACGGCTACTCCCTTTGGAAAATAACTAAAAACTTCAAAAGACCACAAAATCACATTCCACCGATAAGAAAAAGTGCAGCTGAAGCGTGGGCCAGAAGCGGAAAAGAGAAAGCGGAGTTGTTTGCAGAACACCTTAGTCAAGTTTTCACTCCGAACGAGTCATCCTCTACAGAATTCGAAGCAGAAGTCGAAATGATGATCCAAAGTGATCAACAATTGACATTACCACTGGCTTTGGTGACTCCTAGGGAACTCAAAAGAACAATATTTAAACTAGCCAACAAAAAAGCACCAGGCTTCGATCTTATAACGGGGGAAATTCTCAAACAACTACCCAGAAAACCAATAGTATTTCTAACAATGCTATTCAATGCAATCCTCAGAATACACCATTTCCCAAACATCTGGAAGATATCTACCATATGCATGATTGCGAAGCCAGGAAAACCTCCAACTGAACCCAGTTCATATAGACCGATAAGTCTACTTCCAATCTTATCTAAGTTGTTCGAGAAGATACTACTGTGGAGACTGAAGCCTATATTGGATGAGAATGGGATCATACCGGATCACCAGTTTGGGTTTCGGGAGAAACATGCTACTGTTGAGCAAGTGCACAGAGTGGTCCAAAAAATCAGGCAATCACTTGAGAAAAAAGAATACTGCTCTGCTGTATTCCTAGACATACAACAGGCATTCGACAAAGTCTGGCACAAGGGTCTACTATACAAACTAAAAACCCTACTACCGAACTCAATCTACATGATCCTAAAATCCTACCTGGAACAAAGAAGGTTTCAAGTAAAATATGAAGAAGAATTCTCCAAGCTGTGTGAAATCAGAGCCTCAGTGCCGCAAGGATCAGTGCTGGGACCTGTCCTATACTCCATATATACGGCAGACCTGCCTGAGACACCTGATGTAGTGACGGCTACCTATGCAGACGACACCGCGTGCCTCTCAAGCGATACAGACCCGGAAAAGGCATCAACCAAATTGCAGACCCAGCTTAACAAAATAGACTTGTGGCTGAAAAAATGGAGAATCAGNAATGAATAACATGAAGCAATAAAGATATTATGATTATGATTATTATTATATAAAGTTTATTTCGTGGATAATTTTATAATTATCAGCCAAACTTATTATTTTTAAAGAATTGTTTTACGATGAAATAAATAATTTTAATAAATATTATTAAAGATTGCAAGTTTTCCATAAAATAATATATGCCTCTACCTAATTTAAAAATAGTGTAGTAAAGAATTTAAATAAATATTCAATAAACAACCATGATCTTAATAAACTTCATTGCCATAAAATTTTACACATTAATTATTGTTTACAATTAACATAATACATAGTATTATTTTATAAACAAACTACTATAAAATTAATGTTAAAAAGAAAAAATATAAATTTAAAAAACCAAAAAAGATTTATGTGGAGATGCTGGGATTTGAACCCAGGACTTTCAGCATGCGAAGCAGACACTCTACCACTGAGTTACATCCCCGATATCCAAGATGGCGAAATTATGGTAGACTATCCGCGGCATTATTAAAATCAATACAACAGACAGAAGAAATTCAAATAAACTCACTTTGATAAGAAAACCCCCTAAATTCTAAAATCTTGCTCAGTTTAGTATCATGATGTATTTAGTAGTATGAATGCTAATAACGAAACGTGGCTAAAACGTCATTGAATATTGTCGTCGTATTTTGACGTCAATAAAATAATTATATTTTACTTTTACATTTCATAAAAAAAAACCCAATACTTTTATACTCATATCACATCATTATTATCATTTAACTAATAACATAATATCTAATAATAACATTTAACTGATATTGTACTGCGCTGTAACATATTGTATTAAACTTTCTAGCAGGCGACATGTTATTTCAACATCAATTTTATTAGGCTTTTTGAAAATGGAATTTTAAGATATACTTTAAAGCTAAGCATAAAATTCGTTTATAAATAACTAGCTTTCCGACCGCGGCTTCGCCCGCGTGAAATTTTGTCTGTCACAGAAAAACTTTATCGTGCGCGTCTCTGTTTCGAAAACCGGGATAAAAATTATCCTATGTCCTTTCCCGGGACTCAAACTATCTTTATACCAAATTTCATCAGAATCGGTTCAGTGGCTTAGGCGTGAAAGCAAGACAGACAGAGTATAGATATTGGTATAATTAAACTATCCGAAGTAACATAAATTATCAAACAAATCAAACTAAAATTAAAACAATAAAAATGTGTCACTACTAACCTAATGAACGATTTTTAAATAACTCTCCTCTTTTGTCTGACGGAAGATATCTTTTGTGTATTTCTTTTTCTTCTTGTTTTATGTGGTGTACTAGTGTCTATCTATCAAGGACAAAATATCTCAATACCAAGTCGAGAAAAAAAGCGGCACGGCCGTACCATCCTTTTCTCGAAGCAATTCAGGCCATTTTCGACCGCCTGTAACTTCGTTGTGGATAAAACTAGAAGGCTGAATTTTCATTAGCTATGCAGGCATTGTAAAGACACGGTATATTTAAAATTTCATTCAATTTGAACCAGTAGTTTAAGAATTATAACGGGTCAAAGTTACTTAATTTTGTCACTCACTGACTGACTCACTGACTCACCGATCATCAAAACTCTAAGGCACTTTTAGAGCAGACCTAGAAGCTTCAAATTTGGAATATAAGTAGAGTTTGGTGTATGAATCAAGAAAAACTAAAATATTTGGGGGCACGGTAGTGCAACCGCCAAGTCGAGTAAAATTTTTCAATTTCGGTCCAGTTTTCTAGATACATAACTGCTGTCTACAAAATACAAAAAGAAATGAGATCCATCCGTCAGATATATTGACTTGGCCATCGCACTAAAATAATTTAATTTACACGTGTTTTCATGCGATGGCCAAGTCAATATATTTATGTAAGTAAAACGTTAAAGATTTCCTGGCCTGGACTTGGTATTACATGGATCTCACAACTTTTTACCGTAGAACAACTGAGTTGCGAGACTTGGTTTTTTTGACAAGTATTGTTTTTGATGGGTTATACTTTAACATTCTCTCTTTGTCCCCAGGTCCTAGGCATATCAGAGCGCGAATTCATGGACCAAATGGGAGTATACTTCGTCGGATTCGTCTCCCAGTATGGATACGACAGAGTTCTCTCTGTGCTAGGCCGGCACATGAGAGACTTCCTCAATGGCCTGGATAACCTCCACGAGTATTTGAAGTTCAGCTACCCTCGAATGAGGGCACCCAGCTTTATATGCGAGAATGAGACAAGACAAGGATTGACGCTGCATTATAGGTCGAAGAGGAGGGGCTTTGTGTACTATGCAATGGGGCAGATTAGAGAGGTAGTAGAGGAAGTTCTTATTAGTTAAATAAGTTCGTTCGTTTCAGCCAAATAACGCCCACTGCTGGACAAAGCCCTCCCCCAAGGATTTCCATAATGACCGACCTGCGCTGCTCGCTTCCAGGCTCTTCCCGCGACCTTCACCAGATCGTCGGTCCAACTAGTGGCAGGCCTGCCAGATAAATAAATATAATAATATAAGTTTATTTTATATGCAATGAGAAACAAGTACCTAAGTAGAAAGAATTTTGCGATTTGTGTAATTTAATTATTATGCCATGAAGAGACCATTGAACTAATGTAGGTACATTATACCTCAATGGAATAGATATAACGTATTACAGAAATAACGTATTTTTCTCGCTTCATATTAAAATGTCAACTTTCCGCAACAGTAAACAAAAAACCGAAAAAGAGTAATATTTAACACTAGCTGTGCCCGCGACTTCGTCCGCGTGGAATAATGACTTTGGGTAGGCACTTTTAATAATTTAGTCTNAAAGAAAGAAAGAAAGAAAGAAACATTTATTGCCATGGACATCACAGAAGACAAAAGATGTAAATAATAGAAAAAAAAGTAAATAAGACATAGGTGACATAAAATAAAACATACAATGAAAGTGAAAGTAAAACTGAGCAGTGCCACCCTGTCGCACAGCGATGTCCATCGCAATGGGACCCCACTCAGCATATGCCATGGCCCCCGGTGAGGGAGGCCACGACACAACAAGCAACCACAAAGCGCCTCAAGAGATGGCACATTCTCGAGCTCAGCGAGAGAAATTAGAGCTCTTACCAGTGATGGACTTTGCTATTCAATGGAATACCAGTCAAATAATCCGCTCCCAGAACACATCTAATTATGGCTATGGATGGCCGATCGTAGATAATAAGAGGACGTCAGATACAGGAGGCCCGCGCGGCGGCGCCGCCGAGGGTCCGAAGGGACGAGTCTCCGGGGTACTCTTTCAGTGACTCGATGTCTGAGCCCGAGAGGGCGGGAGGGACGCCTCCTCTCCCCGAGCCACCAAGTCAATCGTAAGTTCATCATCGTCATTAGGTCATTTAGGTGCTTATTACAGAACAGAGCTCAGAACTTGATTCAATTTCTTGCTCCGATTGAGACTTTTGATTGGCTAAAATTGAATATTTAGACCAATCATTGAACATATCCATGAACTTAAATTTAATTGTGTTCATTGTTTGATATATGGACAATGAACATGAATCCACTACATGTGCCATGTGGACCCAAAATAAAAGACAACAATGAAAACAGGTGCATCAAGCATTATTTGTGCAAAGCCTATAATAAATTGATAATGATCTGCAAGTCACGAATAGATAATTATATAATCTACTTACAATTATCTCTAACTATAAATAAAAGTCATTTAAAGTGATTGAATATATTTATAAAAAAAAATACCCTTAAAATATTTAGGCTATTTTTACCAACGATTTTATAATCACTGAAGATAGTAAAAATAAAAATCATTTTAGTCAGATAATAGTTTTAATCTTGAAGTATGAGAGCTGCTGGTAAAAAGCAGTATTAAATAAAATCACAATAAAACTTGTTTTTAATAAATTAATATTTTATTTAGACTTTTTTTGTCTTGTTGCCAACTAATTGACCAGTGCCAATTTCCTTTTACGTCGTTATTATGCATGTATGTAAAGTTTGGCCAATAATGTTGCAACAGTGCAAAGTAGTGCACACATATTTTGAAATTTCTATTTTTATCGTAAAATATTGGATGACTTAGAAATTATTCTGAGTAACAGATGAGTAATATTCATCGGAGAAGTGAGCATTCACCTTAAATGACGTCATCAATATTAACGTTACCTATTTGCGTAGCCTCTTGCATAGGACTTCCCCTCTTCAACTGGTTAACGTGGATTCATGATAGTATTTGTTTGTATAACATTACATCATAATTATGTAAATGTTACATTTATATCTGCTCAGTTATTGGAGAGTTTGCTTGTCATACCTACCTCGGTCCTCTGTATCTACCTCTCTCTATCTTCTGGGATAATCTCGAGATATATTTAAAATGATATTATACTTAAATGTTTTACAGAACTTAGTTATTTGCGAATTAAATATTTTAATTAATGTACGATTGTATTGCAAATGCAAATGCTACATTGTAATTCTGCCCAAGTCTAAACACTGATACTGACATTGAAACTTAGCCTCAAAACAGTGTAAATTGGCATTGAGTTTACAAGTTGTATCTTATACCAGGCCTGTTCATCTCCGCGAGTTTACATCGAAAACAAAACACGCACGATGGCCCACCTACAGGATTCTATTCGACAAGGCCTCACATACGAGCGAACATTGACTCACGCACGCGTATTCTTGTGTATGATGGAAGAAAGTAAAGAAAATGGTGTACTAAATACTGTGCAGTATTTAACTGCCTAAATAATAATAAAAACACAGCATGTACTTTTTTAAGTTGCCTCAAGACACGGAGAGGTAAATATGTAAGTAGTTGATTGATGACTATTCATGATAATTCATGCAAAATCATGTATTTCCTCCGCCATATTCCGCAGTTTAACACCTCACGTCACATCATTTTACCGAAGTCAGCCCTATAGCTTCGGCGCAGTGCCGATCACTGACGATTGTCAACAAAATGGTGCTTGACTCTTGAGACAGGCTAAATTACACCATATTGTTGATGAAATTGAGCATACATTTTTTTAAATACCTTCGCGAAGTAAAACTTCTGTACGTAGTACTTATTATTATTCTGTGCTTATACATAGTAAATTCTATGTAAATAAACAGCATGTATGCTCATGACCCCGAGGGAATGCAGTAAACAATATAAATTGATTGATTGAGACTGTTAATAGATCGTGCACTCGCATTGTACGATTGCAACACTATCGATTGTTGTTGGGTAATGCAATCTGTTACTTGTGCGATTTTATAGGGCACTTTGAAGGTTTCTTATTTCACGACTAAATGATTAACCCTTTATAGAATTAGCCTACATTATTTTATGTATCTTCATTATTTAAGGATGTATTTACATGTTATGGTATTTAGTCCTATAAATGAAGACGAATAGGAAGTATTCTAACTTACAAAAAGTAAGTTGTTGCTTCTCTAAAAACTTTAGTTCCTCGCCTTAGAAATCCTGTCGATTTTTAGCTTTTTCGAGTCCTCCTGTTTAAACATTGAGTCAATGACTGACTGAATAATCGCTTCTATAGACGTTAAACATAGATATTAAACAACTTTTGATGATGATATTTCAACAGAAATGTCATTGTTGACAACAGGTCAGGTGCAGAGCACAACACTCGCTTACTGGATGGGAACACTTGGCGTAACCTCGGCGTGGTGAGTGGATGCGCGAGGAATCCGTCGCAGGCGTCGCTGGCCGCGCGACTGGCCACCTTCTCGCGGTGGCCGACTGACCGCCCTCAGGCCCCGCAAACGCTGGCCGAAGCTGGATTCTATTACTCGGGGAATGAAGATCATGTATGTATTCAAATAGCTGTGCCCGCGAAAACGCGTGAAAGTAGTATGAATCCCCGTTTTTGAAACATTTTTCTTTTGGCTGTAGAGTGATGTTATACAGGGTGGAAACGATAAGTGATCTCACTCAATTATTTCTAAACTATACAAGATATCGAAAAACTGGTAACTGATCCTGAAAGTGCTTCACGAGCTCTATCCAACGCTACCGATAATGGGTTACAAAATAAACTGAATCTATCCGAAAATTCAATGTTTCCAGTTTCCATACATTTAGTAAAACCACTGAATATTAAAAACTATACAAGCTATCCAAAAACTGATTAATGATCCTGAAAGTGCTTCACGAGGTCTATCCAAGGGTACCAATAATAAGTTACAAAATAAACTGCATCTATCCGAAAATTCAATGTTTTCAACTTCCATACATTTAGTACTGCCACAATCATGGCACTCATGTCTTGATAATATTATAACAAGTAAAGCCTAGTACTAATGTTTTCCATGAACAATTTAAAATAAGAATGCAATTTACGAGTTCATTTTAAGTGTTTAGTATTTCATAAAAAAAATTAACACTTAATATTGTGTGGCTGGCATTTAGTATGGAGGCTGAAAACATTGAATTTTCGGATAGATCCAGTTAATTCTGTAACCTATTACTGATACCTTTAGAAAGAGCTCGTGAAGCACTTTTAGGATCAGTAACTAGTTTTTCGATATCTCGTGTAGTTTAGAAATAATCGAGTGAGATCACTTATATTAGATTATTTATAGGAATTCAATTTGAATGCAAAAAAACTAATGTTATTCTATAAAAATGTTTGAGATTGTATTCTGTTGTTGTACCTATAAATAAATAAATAAAATAAAATAAATAGTTTCCACCCTGTATAGCCTGAAGCCTTCCTCGATTTAATGGGATACCCAAAACAATTTTTTTTTCAATCGAAGCAGTAGTTTCTGAGATTAGCGTGAATGTGGTGATAAAGAAAAACAGTTATCTCAAAGGCGATGGATAGTGCTTATTTGAATTGTGTCGATTTGCGATTTGATTTGAACAAGAAGGATTTGGCTTATACATCCATATTATGCCGACCATAATTATCCCTTAGTTGCCTTTTAAAACATCCACGTGAAGATATATAAGGTGTTATTTTTTGTACTGATCATACTTTACCAAGGCATCTAATAAAATCATACAAATACAACCCAAGTGTTTAAAAAAAAAATTCAGGCTAGTTTTGTTTTTACTTTTCCTAACAAAAAAAAGATATTATTTTTACAACCATCCTGTCTTCACTCACTGCCTCTCTCTCTTTCTTTACTCATTTCATTCATACGAGTACGAACAATGGCCGCGCGCGTTCATTCAACGTTCACACACATAAAGGTTAGATTACACTAAGCNACTTTTAACATTGAACATGCCACGATTATTCTGGTAAACAAATTTCCGGGAATAACGATTCAATATCCATAGTGCTTTTGGTAAATCAGTCAGTTTCAAAGATAAAATTCTGAAAAAAAATCACAAGGTGTATAGGGACCCCCAGATTACGAAAATCGCTTAATCGGAAAACTGCTGCTATGGCTATTGCGGCTTTATTCCAGGCACCCATCGATTTTTCTTTTGGCTGTAGAGTGATGTTATATAGCCTGAAGCCTTCCTCGATTTAATGCGATATCCAAAACAATTTTTTTTCAATCGAAGCAGTAGTTTCTGAGATTAGCGTGAATGTGGTGATAAAGAAAAAAGTTATCTCAAAGGCGATGGATAGTGCTTATTTGATTTGTGTCCATTTGCGATTTGATTTGAACAAGAAGGATTTGGCTTATACATCCATATTATACCGACCATAATTATCCCTTAGTTGCCTTTTACAACATCCACTTGAAGATAGAGGTGGTCCTATTCTACTCTCTCTAACCATACGGCTCATAATTTCTGACACTGCTGTTATTTTAAACCTTATTATGGAACCATACGTCTTATTTTTGCATTCTAGGTTCGTTGCTTCTACTGCGACGGCGGCCTTGCCAAATGGGAGACGACTGACAAGCCATGGGACGAGCATGCGCATTGGTTCCCGCATTGTGGCTACGTGCTTCTCATCAAAGGGAGGGACTTCGTCGAAACTTGCCGCAAAAAACCATCGCAAGGCCAGGTGGAGCGGACTGTGAGTCTTAATGTCAATGCCGTAGAGTATATTTTCGTGTAGCGATTATAAATAAAATAATACATATTCTTAAACATACTTATCAAATACTTTTTTTTTTGTAAATAAATTGCACTCGCTAGCAAAATATGGAATCACCTATTTGTTCGACCGATCATAATAACTAAATGACCAATAGAAGACAAATAAAAATGGTACCATATTGATACCATAGATCAGGGTTTCCCAATTTTTTGTTGCCAAAGAACCCTAATTGATTATACTTTTCCTAGCGGAACCCCCGTACTACTCCGCCAGCATGCCCTGCCCCTCCCTTGTGCGTAAACAAGTCGGTGCGAGCGAACAACGTCGGTCACGAAACGTGGGATAATATTTTTTACGGAACCCCAGGATTCCGCGGACCAACATTCAGGAACCGCTGCCATAGATACTTAACACCAGGTGCGATTGCGGTCAAATACCTGCCTTGTCTAGCATAAAAAAAAAAGATTGCTCGGAACAAAACATAACGATGATTCTATACTTTTGTTCGTAAGTGTAATAAACTTATATGTTTGAAGACTGCTATACTGATTTACTAATTACATTTTTATTATTACAGCTATCATCTGACAACGCGCGAAGGCGGAGGGGTAATAATAATAACAACAACAATCCAGCGGCCGCCAACCCTCCTCCACAGTCTGTACTAGATACACAGGTAATAATAATTCGAAATGGTAAATTAACAAACGCTTATGACGATTAACAACTCAGCAATTTGAAAAGTAACTTGATTACGAGATTTAGGGCTACGATATTTATTCCCTTAAAGGAAGTGTACACTTTGTACCCAATAGCAGTTACAAAATTAAGACATTGCAATAGCATTGAGTGAGTGAGTAGGATGACAGCACGCAGGATTGCCAAACTAATGGCCGTTGTAGCACAGAATAATAATAAGTACTACCACAGAATAATAATAAGTACTACGTACAGAAGTTTTACTTCGCGAAGGTATTTAAAAAAATGTATGCTCAATGTCATTAACATAACAATATGGTGTAATTTAGCCTGTCTCAAGAGTCAAGCACCATTTTGTTGACAAACGTCAGTGATCGGCACTGCGCCGAAGCTATAGGGCTGACTTCGGTAAAATAATGTGACGTGAGGTGCCAAACTGCGGAAAATGGCGGAGGAAATACATGATTTAGCATGAATTTATCATGAATAATATTAACTACTTATTTACCTCTCAGTGTCAAGAGGCAACTTAAAAAAGTACATTCCCTGTTTTTATTNTGGACTGGTACGATTATTTATGTTGTTGCGCTCCCGCATGCCGATCGGCGGCTCGGCGCGGGCTGTAGGCGCGGAGCGACTGGCAGCGATATCAATATGGCCGACTCACGCGGCGCGACACGTGGCAGCGGTCGTTGCCCTCGGCCGGCTACTACGATTATAGTGCGTAAACGAATACTCACCGCGCTCAAAGGATGATTTATTTTTTATTTTTTTCGAAACATTCTTTGTCGTTTTACTCGAAAACTAGCCTGAATTTTTTTTTAAAAACACTTGGGTTGTATTTGTATGATTTTATTAGATGCGTTGGTAAAGTATGATCAGTACAAAAAATAACACCTTATATTATGGTGGTCCTATTCTACTCTCTCTAACCATACAGCTCATAATCGCTGACACTGCTGTTACTTTAAACCTTATTATGCAACCATACGTCTTATTTTCGCATTCTAGGTTCGTTGCTTCTACTGCGACGGCGGCCTTGCCAAGTGGGAGACGACTGACAAGCCGTGGGACGAGCATGCGCATTGGTTCCCGCATTGTGGCTACGTGCTGCTTATCAAGGGACGGGATTTCGTCGAAACTTGCCGCAAAAAGCCATCACAAGGCCAGGTGGAGCGGACTGTAAGTCTTAATGTCAATGCTATAGAAGTATAGAATATATTTTTGTGTAGCTATTACAAATTAAATAAATAAATAGATATTTTTAAACATACTTACCTAAACACTTTTTTGTTAATAAATACATTCGCGAGCAAAATATGGAATCACCTATTTGTTCGAGCGATCATAAGAACTAAATGACTAATAGAAGACAAATAAAACTGGTACCACTTTAAAGGTAATTATTATAAACTTTAAATTGATATCATAGATACAGTCAGTTCTTATGATTGCTCGTAATAAAACGCAAGGGGGTGATTTCATACTTGTACTCGTAAGTGTATTATACTTATACTCGTGTGATTGAAGACTGCTATACTGATTTACTAATTACATTTTTATTATTACAGCTATCATCTGACAACGCGCGAAGGCGGAGGGGTAATAATAATAACAACAACAATCCAGCGGCCGCCAACCCTCCTCCACAGTCAGTACTAGATACACAGGTAATAATAATTTGAAATGGTAAATTAACGCTTATGACGATTAACAACTCAGCAATTTGAAAAGTAGTGACCGACCGAATATTCGTTTTCGTTTTCGTTTTCGGCCATTTTCTGCCAAAAAATGGACATTCGGCCATATTTTCGTTTTCGGCCAAAAACCAGCCGAAGCTTCGGCCAAACCGAATATCAGATATACGAGAATAAGATGGTGACGTTTATCGTTCCGATATCTTCGGGAGTGAATCTGGTGCACTCATGGTTCCAATCAGACTTGAACGGACGCGGTATTGTCACACTCTTTTGAAGTTGTGAAGTGAGGTTACGTTGTAAAGGGTGTCCAGCGAGAATTTTCCAAGTTCAAAATAGAACACAAATAAAACCTAAGAATTTTCATTAAGTTTAATTGTTTCAAAATAGAGTCTAATGCGGATTTGAAATACGCCATGAGTCACTGGTCGGGAGCCTACAGAGCGTTCGCAGTTGAACAATAAGTATTTGAAATGTATTGTCGAATGATCGATGAATGTCTGATACCGCAACTGCAACTGCATCCCGGACAACTACGTAACTCTATTTTAGCAAGAAGGTGTCTCACCACACACGGAGAGTACCTCAATGGAGACACTGAGGACTATTTTTTTTTTCAAATAAATGATCAGCAGGTACAGGGACATACCCTAGCTGCCTCGGTCACCAGATCTCACACCATGCGATTTTTTCTTGTGGGGATATCTCAAGTCAAAAGTTTACAGCAAACAATCCTTAAATAATTCAGGTTCTGTAAGAAAATATCCGCCGTGAAGTTGCAGGAAAATTATTAGCGCGATTTGCTCTCGCATAGTTGCGAATGTAAGGGTCCAGCTGTGAGAGTGCCTATATTAAACCCGCATTGTTAAACTCCAGTTTGCATTAGTAATAAATAATAAAAAATCATTAATTTATTTGTATTTATTTTTGAAGTTGAAAACTTCCCACTGGACATCCTTTATTTCTTCTTCACTTCCCAATATTTCATTATACACCGAAAATGATATTCTACTAAGAATTCATAATTATTTTTTTTGTGTTTTAATGCCGGTTTTCTTTACTCAATCCTTATCAAAATCAACTGTCAAACGTCATTATGTTTTTGGTCAAAACATTAACGGTTTTCAAAGTTTTTACATAATTTCAGATTGAAATTTGAGAGTTGAAGGTCATTTTCGTTTTCGTTTTCGTTTTCGGCCGAAAATGAGACTGCAGCCGAAGCTTCGTTTTCGTTTCCGTTTTCGGCTGAAAATCCATATTCGGTCGGACACTATTGAAAAGTAACTTGATTACCGGATTTAGGACTACGATATTTTTTCCTTAAAGGAAGTGTACACTTTGTACCCAATAGCAGTTACAAAATTAAGATATTACAATAAAATCAAAAATCAAAATCAAAAATATTTATTCAGTTTAGACCACAAGTGTCACTTATGAACGTCAATAGAAAATAATAAAAAAAGAAAAGGTAGCCCTTATGGGGCACTTTACATGTCTCCTTATCTTTTGGGCCCTACCAGCGCTTCGAGACAAACATATGGCAAGTGCTGAGAAGAACGCCGGAACAAACTCAATAATAATAGCATTGAGTGAGTGAGTAGGATGACAGCTCGCAGGATTGATAAACTAATGGCCGTTGTAGCACAGAATAATAATAAGTACTACGTACAGAAGTTTTACTTCGCGAAGGTATTTAAAAAAATGTATGCTCAATGTCATTAACAATATGGTGTAATTTAGCCTGTCTCAAGAGTCAAGCACCATTTTGTTGACAAACGTCAGTGATCGGCACTGATGTGACGTGAGGTGCCAAACTGCGGAAAATGGCGGAGGAAATACATGATTTAGCATGAATTATCATGAATAATATTAACTAGGTACTTATTTACCTCTCAGTGTCTTGAGGCAACTTAAAAAAGTACATTCTGTGTTTTTATTATTATTTAGGCAGTTAAATACTGCACAGTATTTAGTACCCCATTTTCTTTATTTTCTTCCATCATACACAAGAATACGCATGCGTGAGTACATGTTCGCTCGTATGTGAGGCCTTGTCGAATAGTATCCTGTAGGTGGGCCATCGTGCGTGTTTTGTTTTCGATGTAAACTCGCGGAGATGAACAGGCCTGGTTGTAGCAAAAAGTTCATGAGTAGCGACCGATCCAAAAACGTAGTATAGGTTGGCCTCCCGCGATGGTCTGATCATTGCGGAAATCCTTGTGGGATGGGAGGTCTGTGTCCAGAATTAGGCTGCGTTTCCACCAGAGATTTGCGAGGATGCGCAGCAAGGGATGTGTTTGTAAAGAACCAATAGAATCGCTTAATTTACCGATGCGAGGTAAATGAAGCGATTCTATTGGCTACGCATCCTCACACACCTCTGGTGGAAACGCAGCCTTAGACGACGTTGACCGAAACGATGACTATCTCCGCGTGCTTTTAATTGTATTTTTTCCTTTCAGGTGGAAACGGTTATGGATAGTAACATCGTGACGGCCGCGCTGGGAGCTGGCCTCGACGCGGCGAGGGTCCGCAGGGCTATAACACGAAGGCTGCGCGCTACTGGTCAGTATTATAACATTATTATACTAAGTAAATATTGCTCCGTTTATAAACTACTAGCTTTCCGCCCGCGGCTTCGCCCGCGTGGAATTTTGTCTGTCACAGAAAAACTTTATCGCGCGCGTCCCTGTTTCAAAAACCGGGATAAAAACTATCCTATGTTCTTTCCCGGGACTCAAACTATCTCTATGCCAAATTTCATCAAAATCGGTTGCGAGGTTTAAGCGGGAAAGCGTAACAGACAGACAGACAGACAGACAGACAGACAGAGTTACTTTCGCATTTATAATATTAGTTGGGATTTTCAAAAACATACATAATTATTGTTTGTCTGTAATATGCTGTTTTGTTTTAGGTGGTGAGTTTTATGCTAACAAGGTGTAAAAATAATGAAGACCCAAATACCTGACATGTTGATAACACGCACGTGGTTGTATCGAAAAATAGTATGGACTGGGCAGGTGGCACAGACTGGGTAGATTGCGTGCCGACGTCCGTTCCGTGCGTCCGCGCAAGTTTTATCGTAGGCTTACTTACGCTTAGTCTGAATGAGGAAGAGCCGCGGACGAATGTCCAATTTTAGGATTATAACTCGCGACTTTAGACGACACCGGGTTTTAGTGGAAAAGCCTTCTGGCGGGGAGAGCCCCAGATAATAACTAACTGGCCGTACCCATCGGCCAATGGCTATGCAGGAAGGAAAAAAAATTCTAAATAAGGAAAAGAAGAAGATATTTCTTATGCATGTAGAAATAAAACTTGTTCTTCAAGGAAAAAGCCTAATCAGTATTCAAATGCATGACCAATCTTTCGGCTAAATATAAAACTTTCCGCTAATTTACATCGATTTGGTAAACATTACTGTTTACAGGCATCCCATACGGTTCAGCAGAGGCGCTTATAGACGCGGTGTTGAACGAACAACTCAACGAGGAGGCTTGGAGCGTGAACCCCCAAAGCCAGCAGTTGGCCCGCGACATACTAGCGGAGACATTAATGGAAATATCGCCTAGGGTTGGGTATGTGACATTTGTTTATTGTTTACTGGACAGTCTGGTCAGGTGGGGATTCTTGGATGGCTTAAACATGGAGTGCAGGTGCGGTTTTGTTCCCCAGTCGATGAAGCACCTGATGTCGTGCCCTGAGTGCCTAAGCAATTGCACTCAGGAGGATTTGATGAGTGCTGCTGACAACGCCACTCTTGTGGCGGAGTTTTGGGCTGACACTGTATAGGTTTGTTGTCGACACGAAAAGAAGAAGAATTTTTTTACTATAGATAGATCTAGCGCTTAACTCAATGCCTGAGGTATGGGAGGGGTGACATTGACATATTGTGAAGTGACAGATCATATAAATCTGAAGTCTCGCTGACGTTTGACGTTACAAAAACACCCTCCCGTGCCGCTCCCAAATCTACTTTTCAGGATCTTATTACTAGTGTTCTTCTGATTAATTTAGTTGCGGGTCCATTGACAGTTTACCTTCCCCCCGGGACCTTTATTGGTTAGGTTTTTATTGGCGGTAGATAGGTAAGCTGTCGATCCTGGCTACAGATAAGTTGCAGCAGTGGGAACGAGTGTTAGGATAATTGTAATTTTATAAGTAAGAGAAACATTTTTTGTATTTAGACGTGTACTTTCTATGCACACATTATTCATACAAACTTAGACCCCCATTTGATGTGCCCCGTTATCGTTAATTCATGTAATGAAATGTACTTTTTACGGTAACTTGCAATCAAATATTCTATTCAAATCACTTACGTCTATACTTCAAATAACATTGTCATCTCATTCAGCTGACCAAACTCTTTTTCTCTACAGTAACCAGATGCCTACGTCATGGGAGGACAACCAGCCCGAGCGTCGTCTGACCATAACGCTTCCCCGAGAGCCGAGAGAGTTAATTTTCAACACAGCAGATCCAAGAGCTTTTTCTCCGGCCATTTTCTTCACTAACCGTGCCTCTACCACCCCTAGTCCTCCCCCTCCCGTCTTCGGGGCCCCCCACGCCCCTTGCTTCGTAGAAGCCCCTAGCACAACAGATGCCCCTAGCGCAACAGATGCCCCTAGCGCAACAGATGCCCCTAGCGTAACAGATGCCCCTAGCGTAACAGATGCCCCTAGCGCAACAGATGCCCCCCCTGCTCTTCCTGCCCCTCCTGTCCCTCCCGCGAAAGGGGATGAAGCGAAGAAGGAAGAAGTGGATGGTAAAGAGAAAAAGGAAGAAAAGACTCTGACGCTCGAGGAAGAAAATCGGCAGCTAAAAGAGGCCAGGGTGTGTAAGGTGTGCATGGATAATGAGGTGAGATTTGATTTGTTGGGTAAAAAACACTTCAACGAAACATTTGTTAGGATTTTGTTTAAAATAATACAATTAAAATGTACATTTTCACCAATATATTTCTCAATCTTTGCTGAGGTTTTTCGACAGTGGTGCCAACTTGGCGATTGTAAATGCGATATTTTCGTCTTTGACCAGTTGGCGTCACAAGCTAGTGGAACTTACTCGTCAGTAATGTGAACCAGTGAATTCAATTTAGTAAATCCTCATCATACCAAATTAGCATAATTGTGTGTGATTTGACAAATTAGGCAAGCATTTGTTTACCTACCGCCGAGTGAAGTGCTAGCAATTCGATGATGGCTATCGTCTTTATACTTACTTAACAGTTGGTGCCATTATTGGCGATTAACAGGATCGTACTCTACAGTGGCGCCATCCTGGTGAGTGCAAATGCGATAGTCCTTCCGTTTCAGTGCTCACCAGTTGGCGCCACTATCTTCGCCACTAGGAACTGACAGTGACCTTACTCGCCAGTGCCGCCAACTGATAAGCGCTATAACAAGGCTGCTCAACCTTTTGGAGAGTCGGACCAATAAGCCATGATAGCCGAACGGTGAAAGACTGGCCGACTCGTCATTCGGGGAACGCGGGTTCGAACCCCGCCGCCGCCGTGACACAAACATTTAAGCTAAATACTAAATAGTAAGAGGGGCTAACAGGACTTGTATACTTGGCAAAAATTACTTAATATGACCTCGCCTGCCACGAGATTTTGCGTCGATATAATTGTGCAAAATCAAATCACTAATAAATCTTTAAACAAAAAACGCAGGTGAGCGTGGTGTTCCTGCCGTGCGGGCACCTGGTGTCGTGCGCGGGCTGCGGCGCGGCGCTGTCGGCGTGCCCTCTGTGCCGCTGCTCCGTGCGCGCGCTCGTGCGGGCCTACCTCGCCTAGGGCACAGGTGTGTATGGGCCACTGGTATAGCCTAAACCACTGGACGGATCGGGATGAAATTTGGCATGCAGGTAAAGTCCGGTGTAGAATTTTGTCCAATGACCCCAAGCTACCCATCCTTATCGCTCGCGCGTAATTATATTGCTGTCGCGACTGTGCCCGCAGTGAGTGTGCGAGCGCAACAGAAACATAATTACGCGCGAGCGATAAGGATGGGTATTAGCTTGGGGTCATTGGACAAAATTCTACGTGCTTGCAGACCCGACTATAGATGTTATGACGTAGGCATCCGCTAAGAAAGGATTTTACGAAACTGCACCCATAAGGGGGTAAAACAGGATCCACGCGTACGAAGTCGCGGGCGGCCGCTTGTCAAAGTATAAACGTTAAGTTTATCAAACTAAGGTTTATTCAAAACCGCGCAGTAGATACTGGCAATATGCACGGCGCCATTACCATAAAAAACCGCGCAGTATTTAAGCGCTACAGTCGCTTAAAGGAAATAAAAAATCTGATTTGTCCCCCTTAGGGCAGAAGCTGAGAACGCCAACACGGATGGTCGTGACAAAGTATTGCAATAATAATCGTATTCTTCGCGACTGCACTGTTTTGCGCTTGTTTGTCGTGTCTTCAAATTTTTGATTCGACCTAATGCCGTCCACTGCTGGACAAAGAACTCCCCAAGGATTCCACAACAACCGGTCGTGCGCTGACCACATTCATTCTTCTTCCCTTCTTTTCTATATTTTTAAGTTCAAATTAGAAACATTTTATCTGATTCTAATTCCTATATTGCTGTTTCAGGTTCAATAATGGCGGTAAACGGCCACGTGCATCAGCTACCAGTTTTCCGTTGCGTTACTTTATCTCTGACTACTAGGTGTATTAGGTATGTATTACAATAAATATTATATTATGTATGGATATTCATTACATTTAGGCCTACATGTGATGTATGCTCGTATCGTAGTGCATATCGGTGATAACCGAAAACGGTAAAATTAATTTTAACTTGCTATTTATAATTATATTTTATTTATAAGCGTATGTATGACCACTGAGTCGTTTTTGTAATATAACTAGCTTTTGCCGGTAAATTGCAGTTGTAATCCGAACAAACATTATAATCCGGTAATGAATTTGTGACCGATAATATAAGGTTATTCTGAAACAATCATTCTTTATGGCATTAGTGTGCCATAAAGAATGACTGTCGTCGATATGTCGATTCTTTGTTTTTTCTACTGTATGGATTAAATTGATTTAAAAAGGCTATCTTTGAATCGATTATTTATAATCGTTGTCGGTTAATTCCGTCGTCGCTACAGACTTAAATATATGATTTACTTGCCATTTCATAATTTAAGAACCTTGACTGCTGTCACTCTTATCTCACTACTTAAAATATGAGCAACAAAAAAGTAAAATTTATAATAATGAACTATGTATACCTTATCATCATTATCGAATAATTTAGGTTTAATTAATTTAGAAATTAACAAATAGATATTATGTATTTATTTATTAAAATTTAAAAAAAATCGAATTTCTCTAAATATTGTCGTTTACAAACAACACACCCAAATTGTCGTAATGTTTATTTCCGTTATTCCGAAATATATTTGGAAATATCATTGTTTATAAATTAATTACGTAGTGATAATTAACGAGAGGGCGGTAAAATGGACCCCAGTGTATAATCCTATAAAAGTACTTTTAGTGAAACGGTTTTAGAGCTCACTTTACTATTAATAGTAGATTGTATAAACCCATGGTGTAGATGTGTGCGATTCAATACAATAGTTGTCTGTGAAACTGCTTGATTCAATGTGAACCTGTGTGAGATTATGTCTCCAATTAAGTAAGTAAGCATTACCTTTAGCGTGAGAAGTATGGTTGAAAGGCAAGATTAAAAACCCAATATCTTCAACTTTAAAGATCAGTTCACCTTTCCCTTACTTTTTGCTCCAAATATGTGATTTCAAGATCTTAGCTCGTGTCGTAGATTTAAAACCATTAATATAATAGGTACTTATAACATTAACATACCCTGCGCAGCTTGTAGTTTCTGTTTAAAATAGTGAAATATGACAAACAAAAGATTTCTGTACTTTCCAACCACAAACAAGTACATATAAATAGCGTAACATTTAATAATACATGAGGCCCAGAACACACGGTGAAACGCAATTGCAACTTCTAGTTACTTTTGAGTTGCATCTAAGTTTCTGCCATAGCGTCCGTTGAGAGACCACACATGACGCGACCAGTTTGAAACGCGTTGCAAATCAGTCGCATTGAAACCGTCGCGCAGGAAACTCGCGTTGCGTTTCATTCATCGGATTTGGCTTCTTTTGTACAAAATGGCTGACGACGAACAAAAAAACATTACATTTGTGTTAGAAGTGGAAAAGTATCCTTGCTTGTATAATACCACACTATCAAGCTACTCTCGCTCTCAAAAAATTCATTTTGCAGACGTCTGTTCTCAAAGAAAACCGAAATAATTGTGGTTGCAGCGTGTGTGGAAAATGGTTGAAACTGGTTTCAAATCAATAATTTCAAAAGGGTTTCGTTGCAGTTGCGTTTCACCGTCTGTTCTAGGCCTTAGAGTCGTGAAAACTTCACATATTACTCTTCGTGTTCTAAATGTAATATTCCACATGATGATTCAATAATAATTTGATGTTTTAGAATAGAATAAATATATTATTAATCAACGTAGCACATTAATCAGTTCCAAAGTTAAATTGCTTGTAATATTGAATTGCTACTTAGCTTAAATTTTGTTGAAATTCACGCGGTCCTTATAGTGATACAAATAAGAATGAATGTTAGAAAATAGACAAAACAATATTATCTTACTCATCTTGTGAAACTATTGCACTTTATAATTTTCCAAGCTCTCGACATACTGTTTTTTTATTTCACTTAAGTAAACTTGAATTTTATTTAAAAAACGAAACCTTTGCACAGTCACTTGTTCAGGCTAGCATTCTGAATCGATGCTCAAAACCGTATTTAATCTCACGTATTGATTCAAGCCATGATATGAAGGTTGAACTTCAATTAGGTGCGAGGGTTGTTAAGTATGATTGTATTCATCTCATTTAAATTCCATAATAGGTAGGTATTGTTAAAAAACGGGCGTAAATTGTCTACGGCAGTGTTTTTCAACCTGTGGGTCGCGACACTGGGGGGTCGCCAAGCCTCTATAGGGGGGTCGCGAGAGGCCGTAAAAACTACCTTAGTAAAAAAACAGTAAAGTTATAAAGATTTATCCGACATCTAATTTTGCACATGCATAAAATGTTGTATGGATTGAAATATTCGGTTCCTACAACATGCTTATAACATTATAAAATGTATGAAAAAAAAGCGAGCGGTCAGGGGTTGCAAAATATTTTTTTCATACTAGGGTGTCGTGTCATGAAAAAGGTTGAAAAACACTAGTCTACGGGATCATGCATGCATGTGTGTACGCAGTTTCAGTGCAATGTTAGGTCATTAGGTTGGTATCGGCGTGTTCGCGAAAAAGAACCACTAAAAGAGCTTTAGAGTACTCCCTCCAAGTGAAATGAGTACATGTGTACATGAGTACAAGATTGTGTATCGAATGGCAGATTTTGTGATTGAGAAGTATGTAGTTATAACGATGTTCGATAGTGGCCCAAACTTAGCGGTCAGATAAATTAATTGGAATGAATAAAATTGTATCAATTATTAATATTATAATAGTACCTATCTGTTTCCATTACAATTTCGGTTGTTTCATTTTTTCTTTTTACCGTAAAATGATTAAAAAAAATTTTTTTTTAAGCATACTACTTCTATAATTTATTTATTGTCATAACCTACTGTATGGATTAGATTTATGTAACAATTTTGAAGTAATTATCTATCGTATAATATAATTACTGTAGAAACTAATATATTGGTTCAAAACCCACTAAAGTTATTATAGTAGTTTTATTTATATCCTTAACGCAATGGATTTAGCTTTTGCCTGCTGATAAGTCAAAGCCGTCATTAAATTTTCCGTTATAATATGTATTAAAATTAATATTATTCATGGGCACTGAAATACAGGTTGTATTATGAAATGCTATAGGTACTTTGAAATGTTTAGCTATAGGTGTAATGTTATTAGAAGAGTTCCTAATTATTATTTTGAACAAAGGAAAAAGTCCAGTCGGCAATGAAATTGGCAACCGATGCCCATCCAGTTTCATCTCCATGACATTTAGTGTAAGCAACGTGTAAAAGCAGATATAGAGACGGCACGTCAAGCTAAGCACGGGGCCATCTTAAGTGGTTAATATAGGGGCTATTTTACAACAAAAATGCATAGTCTGATATGCTGTATAAATTAGAAAATGAGCACAAAACAGACGCGAGTGCGAGTGCGCAGAGATCAAAGGCGATTTTTTCGGGACAAAGGTGAAGTGCGGGCGATGAGCGGTGGCACGCGCGGCGCCGTCTGGCCCGGAATAGCGCCACCGAAATAGCGCAGACAGACCGACATCGCCGCGATCCGGGCCCTGAATCACACCGAATTTATGGCAAAAGCATATTTACACCGAAAACAGAATTTAGAACAGTTTAGCAACCGTATGGTAGCTAGAAACGGCAGTAATCACTAGTAGTTATTAGCAGCTACACTATGCGTTATTGGAACTACAACAAGATTCTTGAACGAACGGAAAGTTAATGGAAAAGTGGAAGTGGAATTTTCGGGAGAGGTCTAGACGATTGTGGAACCAATCTGACAACACTGGCGATTATTAAGAACTTTCTAGTATGATAAGTATGGAAATTTCTGGAAAATAGTGGAATTTTCTGGAAAGTTCTCGAAGGTTGTGGAATCAATCTGACAACACTGACGATCGAACTCTAGTATGATCTAGAACTTTCTCGAACATTCGACGATGTTCTACACTTATCCAGAGAGTTCCAATCATGTCACTCGTTAGGGTTCCGATAGCATTTTTTAATCGACTTGTTTTTGCGTCAGTCTTCATTACACTTATTAAACAAAACCATTGACGTCCGTCCATACGCGATTTCCTTGTGTAATCGTTTGAGTAAATGTTTACAACAGTAACAACAGGAACCTATAAATGGTTAAATGGAAAGAACCGGGCAATTCCATTATAATTTTCCTTCGGCCGTTTGCAGCTTGCGCAGTGTAAAATGTCCAAGGATAAATGTGTATTATTTATTTATTATTTTTAAATTTGCATGCATTGGAGCGCAGTTGGGTTCGGTGTGAATCGGACCCGAGGCTAATATTAATAAGCGAAAGTCGCGCACCTCGCTAGAGAAATTTTAGACACGGTGATTCATGGAAATGCCGCCCTTAAATGTATTAATAAAGGCACATCGAACCTAGTGTTGTGTATGTATGCGTCCAAACCTTGGTACACTGGAATAGATTTATAGTAGAAGACTGGGTATATTATATGCGATGATTTGACTGCTCTTTGCACAGGTTATTTTGACTGTGAACATCTAATAGTAGGAGTCTGTTGGGACTTAAAGAGATTGGCATTGCTGTTCGTTGTTTAAATAATACAGGGCGTATTTTTTTAGATACAAAAAATACGCCCTGTATTACAAGACAACTAATAGATTATTAAGGCTTATAAAGACCCATCTTGAATTATTCTCAAGCGACATATTATTTACTAGCTTTCCGCCCGCGGCTTCGCCCGCGTGGAATTTTGTCTGTCACAGAAAAACTTTATCGCGCGCGTCCCTGTTTCAAAAACCGGGATAAAAACTATCCTATGTTCTTTCCCGGGACTCAAACTATCTCTATGCCAAATTTCATCAAAATCGGTTGCGAGGTTTAAGCGGGAAAGCGTAACAGACAGACAGACAGACAGACAGAGTTACTTTCGCATTTATAATATTAGTTGGGATTTGTCTTACTCAGTCTACGTGTCCACGAATGTAGCAACACAGCCGAAACGACAAGCTGTGAGTACTAATGTAACTCATGAAATTGTCGCGTTGAGACCCGTTTCTCTATTTTAAATCAAATAAAGGTCTTTGTAACAGGAAAATCATAAAACTTTTCGCGCTATCCGCACTAATAGATGGCGCTGCTAGATCGGAGGCTTTAAAACGCAGATTTTAGCGTTGGCGTGTAGTGAGTCACCACGAAGGTGGAATTAATTAACTTACCAGTGCATAGACGTCCTTGCAAGGCTATTGCGTCCCGATCACGTGCGCCTGCGCTGTGTCTCGATGACTCCGCGTTGCATTTCTGTGCGAAAATGATTCTTATTCTAAAGGGACACGGTCGAAGGATCAATGTATCTGCCTGCCAAATTATGGCGCGCATTAACTGTCATCTGTGAGGGGAGTTTTAAATTGTTTAAACATCTATGTTTGGTAGGCTATAATTTAAAACAATATGTCACAATTTAAATTCACGTGGGCAAAGCCGCGGGCAAAAACTAGTTTTCAATAAATTACTAAAAATAGTCATCGTTATTTATGCTTTTCAATGTAATTTCATTTAAGTATGCACGAGTACCTATATTAAGTGGGTTTTCTACACAAGTAATTGATTGACTAACAAATTATTGCATCAGGCAGGATATTTTATGAGGGTCCTTAACCATGAGTGATGATGATTTTAATGATATCCTGAGCACCTACTATAATATAAGTACCTACTACAGGGTGTTAGGTAAATGGGTATATGAGCCGACACTAGCCCATGTTAACATAGGCATATAAATGGTATGGCGTAGTCAGAAATTTCATCATCATTTTATTTTTTTAAATTTTCATACAAAATAATTTTTATAAAGTCCGATTTGTATGAAAATTTAAATAATTAAAATAAAGATATAAATTTTCTGACTTCACCATACCATTTATATGCCCATGTTAACATGGGCTAGTGTCGGCTCATATACCCATTTACCTAACACCCTGTATACACGTGTAAAGTATTGCGCGTTGTCATCTTTGAACTACTTACTGATACTGACCTATAATTATTTTAACACTAACTTTAGCCCACGATTTTTCCGCGTAGATTTCGATAAGCCTAGCCGCAGACTACAGACTTTTTGTAGGCCGATAGTTGGGTCGGGCTGTTTATCAGTATGGACAATATGGACATGTATGAAAGTGCGCACATAACACCGATTTGGTATCGGCCGATTCTTCAT